GTTTTCACAACACTTGACCTTTAAGTTGTGTTTTTCCCAGACCTGATAAATGATGGGGTACAGCCAACTAAGTTCTACTCAGAGAAACCCCATGAAATTAATGGACCTAAGTTAGCTATGTCCATTAAGTGGGCCTACTCTGAGCAGGACTAGTATGGGATACAGACAAATGGATTTGGAGTTAGAAACACCGAAAGCTGTCAGACCATTTATTTCAGTAATGTCAACCCTGGCTGGCAGCAGCCCTCTACAGTTTCAGGCAGAGCTTTTTCCCACCTCTACCAAGAGATGTTGGTGATTGAACCAGGGACCTTCTGCATGCAAAGCAGATGTTCTATGACTGAGCTACAGCCCTCCCCATTGCAAAATCTGCCATATTAGCATAGGTCTCAAGATCCAAACTTACCATGACAAATGCTTTTTTAAAAAAAATAGATGTACACACAGATGTGCCTTTAAACATGTAGGCAGGGGTCAGCAAAATTTTCAGCAGGGGGCCAGTCCACTGTCCCTCAGATCTTGTTGGGGGCCGGACTATATTTTGAAGGGGAGAAAAATGAATTAATTCCTATGCCCCACAAATAACCCAAAGATGCATTTTAAATAAAAGCACACATTCTGCTCATGTAAAAACACCAGGCAGGCCCCACAAATAACCCAGAGATGCATTTTAAATAAAAGGACACATTCTACTCATGTAAAAACAAGCTGATTCCCAGGCCGTCTGTGGGCTGGATTTAGAATGCAATTGGGCCGGATCTGGCCCCTGGGCCTTAGTTTGCCTACCCATGGTGTAGAGGGCTTCCACCTGCTTTGTTTTTCCACAATGGGCGTAAGCTTTCTTTAAGCCTTTTTATTGGTCTGTAATCAGGACAGGCAGCAGTGTTGCAACCACCTAATTGCTTAAACAATAAATCTTTTGGCAGCCCATGAGATAAGAAGCAAGGACCCACACCAAAGCCCATGCAAGCCCTTCTTGATAGGAGCCCCAGCAAAAAGATAACAGATGACATTTTGGTGTTGAAAACTCCCAACAAGGTCAAAACAAAACAAGGTTTGCCAGAAAGGTGCATGTACCTGAGAGGGTGGAACTCAGGTTATTCCTTTCAAAGCCATCAGAAAAACCACATTAATTAAAGACAGCCAAAACTTTCCAAGCCTGGATATAATCAAGCTACCACAGTAAAGGCATAGCCTGCCTCTGGATGGGTGAGTTTGAGCAAATACAACCTCCCATAAAACCATCATTTGTGATACAAACACATCTGAGCAACAGGAGTCAGGAGCGAGGAAGCTTTCTGGAAGATTTCTGGCAAGTTGTTGTGGGTGAGCAAGAAGCCACAGTGAGCCGGGTGTGAAAAAAGGCAGCACCATTAGCTCTTCCAGCTTGGTGATTCTATGAGTTTATGATTGATTATGGAGGAAAGATCCCCCTCTGTGTATAGGGTGGTACATAAATTCAATAAATAATCACAATCGTAATAATATTTGCTCAAAAACATATAATACAATCGTGAACAAAAGTGAAGCAATTGTTTGCTAAATAGTCTCTCCGGTGTTTAGTTTCCATATGGCTCATTCCAATAACCCACAAAACATCTCCATGAAAATATATTATTTCTTCATCACAGAAGGGAACCAAGGAATCATCTAGTCCAGCCCTGTCTCTTCAAACCTGCAACTGTCAGTTTGTCCATTATTGCCAGTTCAGCGCTTTTACATGAGCAGGCAGTGGCTCATGAACGTTCTGACCGAAATGATATTTGCGGCCATTTATTTATTTTATTGCCTTTATAGCCCACTGTTTTCCTCCAAAGAGCTCAAGGTGGCGTACGCGGTTCTCTCCATCCTCATTTCATCCCCACAACAACCCTGTGAGGCTGATGAGGCTGAGAGGCAGCGACTGGGCCAAGGCCACCCAGTGAACTTCATGGCGCCGAGTGAGGATTTGAACCCTCGTCTTCCCCAGGCCCTAATCTGACATTTTAACCACTAAGCCATACTGGCTTTCATTAATTAGTAAGATAGAAACTGGAGGTCTTAATCCCTTCTCTATCTCATATCTAGTGAGGATGAAGTTTAACGGTTTGCCAGGAGTTAGGATTTGCTTTGGGAGCTGGGAGTCCGGTTGAGAATGTTGGTTTCTGTTTCCCTCACTGAGCCGCAGCTGCAAGTCATGGGACTATGTTTTCATTCCACAGTTCAGTTACTGTTGGATTCCCACGGGAAAGGGAGACTGGATGTGACGTTCATGGTTGTTCATCGGTTTCCTGGGACTTTGCTTCCACCTGAACGCATTGGACTCCTACACCCATAGATGAGCTTTAATCAGGCTCCTCTGTGGGAATTATAGCTTGGATTCCCCAACCTTGTATGAATCCCATAGCACCAGTTGTGGCTGAAAAGTGTTTGGAAATTCATCCCTCCCCTCCAAACACACAAGCACACACAATCTGGAGCTTACATGATCCAGTCCCAAATTGGTTCAGGGGCTGGAGCTAATGTTTCATTAGTATTTTTTTAAAAAAGTCTAATTAACTATGTAGCTGAGAGAGTAAAGAAGGGGAGGCTGCATCCCCATGTCTTCACTGAAGAGAGCAGGACTGAAGCTGCTTCTGCACATTTGGGATAGCTCAGTCAGTAGAGCAAGAGACTCGTAATACCAAGGTCAGGGGTTCGAGCCCCACGTTCAGCAAAAATATTCCTTCATTTCAGGAGGCTGGACTAGACGACCCTCAGGGTCCCTTACAATTCTATTATTCTATGCTCCATCTTCTTCTCACCTCACACCCAAGACCCTGCCCCTTGACAACCTTGGATTACTCTGAGCAGCCTGACCTGACCTGAAGCTGTCTTGACCCAACTCGACAAAAGTCCCATTCTGCCTGAATCAAGCTGATTTGGTTTGTGCTTTGTCCAAATCCTAACCCTAACCCTAATAATAGGTTGCATTCAGCTAAGTTCTACTTAGAATAAGCACATTAACAGATCTAAGTCATCCATGTCCATATATTTTAATGAGTCTCTTCTGCGTATGACTCAATATGATCCATCTCAATTACTATTATTTGAATAGAAAGATAATGCACCTCAACAGAGTGAGGAACAAGATATTTAATGCACTGCGACACCACTTTAAGCAGTTACAGCTTCCTCCCTCCCAAAAAATGGGATCTGTAGTTAAAGGCTGCTGAGAGTGGTTAGGAGACCTCTGCTCCCCTCTCACAATTCCCAGGGTTTTGTGAGAAGAGGGAGTGACTGCTGAACCACTCTGGAAATTGTAGCTCTTGGAGGGGAATAGTGGGTCTCCTAAGAACGCCAAGCAACCTTAACAAACTACATTTCCCAGAATTCATTAGGGGAAGCCATGGCTGTTTAAAGGCGTATCAAAGTGTTTTAAATGTTTTAAATGTTTCCTGTGAATGTGGCCAAGGTGACTGGTATTGCTGCTCAGTCAGCTGTCAAGGTGCTAAAACTGTTGATGGGCAACTTCAAGCCCTCCCCACTCCTCCAGCTTCAGGGTGCTTGCTTCTTATAGTTCTTAACCTTAAAATCAGATTTGTGCCGCATCTGCACTATGCATTAAAGACTGCATTGTATACTGTTTTATACGTATAGGGGAGGAATAGCCTTGTGATGAGAGAGCCCTTCAAAGGATTCCTTCAAATAGAGGACGGTCCTCTGTAAAGGACAGCAAGGCAACCCTACATACAAAACATGATTTTCCATAACTTCCAACATTTCTCTGATGAAAATAGGGACGTCCTAAGGAAAAGTGGGACATTCCAGGATCAAATCAGAAACTGGGACAGCTTCTGTAAATCCAGAACTGTCCCTGAAAAATAGGGACACTTGGCGGGTCTGGATTTTCTTGCAGTGAAAAGAGTTGCAAATAGAGAAGATCTTTACAGCCCTTTGGGTCCCTTCCAGATCTACAGTTCTATGCTTCTATATAACTGAGCACTGAGCTGACTGTGGTCCTGGCAGATTTCAGCAGCTTCCATTGCACAGAATCTGAATTGGTCAACAGCTTTTCCACTGGGGGGAGGGATATCTCTTGGGGGGGGATGGGGACTTCGAAAGTAAGCCATTTGTGTGTCAGGGCCATAAAAAGTTAACTTCAAAACTGTAAAACCAATCAAGTGACACATTTACACCTCTGTAGGGTGGCGCTGTGGGTTAAACCACAGAGCCTAGGACTTGCCGATCAGAAGGTCGGTGGTTCGAATCCCCGCGATGTGGTGAGCTCCCGTTGCTCGGTCCCTGCTCCTGCCAACCTAGCAGTTCGAAAGCACGTCAAAGTGCAAGTAAATAAATAGGTACTGCTCCAGCGGGAAGGTAAACGGCATTTCTGTGCGCCGCTCTGGTTCGCCAGAAGCGGCTTAGTCATGCTGTATGCCGGCTCCCTCGGCCAATAAAGTGAGATGAGCACCGCAACCCCAGAGTCGGCCACGACTGGACCTAATGGTCAGGGGTCCCTTTACCTTTACCTAAGTTGTATCATGAGATGTCATTAAAAAAGAAAACCCGTTCTCCACTGGGTGTTCTGTTTCCAAGTTTTGAGGAGCCCTGGCCACTCTTTAAGCTAAAGAAGATGCTTTCTACATGAGTGAACTTTGAAATGGAATTTGCCCAGGAGGGTGGAAGTGCAAGCGGGTCAGGCCTTGGACTTGTGCCTGTGTTGATCTAATAATAGTGAACACCTTTCCGTGTTGTGGTTCTTCTGTTTAAAGAAAGCCTTGAGCAAATGCTCCGGGGATTATCTTCAATTACCTTCCATGTCAAGCATGAACCCAAATAGCTGGCATGGGATGAATGAGCCACATCCCAGCCCTCCCAGCAAACTCGTTCCCCGACATTCCTTAATTGGATGTTTGCAACAAGCCAAGTGTATGGAGGAGGCTGGAGCACTTGGCTAACCTGGGGGGGTAATTAAATGCTACCTGCCTACCTACCTGCCAACAGTCCCTTCCTGTCATTTTAAACTGGGATAAGCCATCTGTCAGCATCCTCATCTCTACAAGGGCAACACCATGCTCTTTCCCTTCCGTGGGACAACGACAGCATCCAACCTGAGGATAAAGTGATTGGAAATTTTGGGAGGGGAAACCAGTCGTCTCAACTTGTTCACAGTCTACTGAGGTATGGAATTTCCTTGGTAGTTAAGTTTGCTGTTCCATGGAGTCGGTGGGGAAATGAAACAGAAGGTGCAGCAATGAAAGCAATAGTTAACTATGTTTTATTCTGAGTAGACCCACTGAAATGAATGGAGCAAAGCTAACCTTGTCCATTCATTTCAGTGGGTCTACTCTGAATAGGACTAGCATTGGAGACAATCCCCCCAAGGTGTGAGGTTTGTCAGAATTGATACAACACCATCAACAGATCGGCCACTTGGCAGAGATTCCTAAGCAAAACATAGATGAGTCTCTTCTAAATGCTGGATGACGGTAAATGTTAATTCTTTATATATGTGTATATTAGGGCTGTGTTTTGTTTATTTTAATATATTTATATTTAATCAGAAAAGCCTGCAATAAGCCATAGTTTGCAGTTTCATCCAAACTGGGAAACTATGGTCAACAGATCTAGAACAAGTCAGGATATTAAACCAACTTCAGTTTGTGGCTTTACATCCTGGCTTGTTCCAAAGCTGGCAATCTTAGTTTCCCACTCTGGGTGAAATGGGGAAAACTGTGTTTAACTGGCAGCTTCCCGGCTTCTTTGCTCCTGCCACATAGGGGTGTATGCGTGAGAAAATCTCTCATTCAGATCTTGGCTGAATAATGTACTTTGATGAAACTCCAGGTGGTTCACACTGGAATTCCCAAGAGGAGGTCTTGGGCTACAACTCCCATGAGCATTGGCCATACTGGGAGGAGAGGGACACAGGGTTCCCCATCCTTGGTTCATGGCGTGTGGGCAGCACACAGCAGCAGCAGTGCAGGACTTTGCTAGGATGGGATTTTATTCCCAAGCTATGTTTGGACGACCATATCTCAGTTTATTCAGCCAAGATATGTACAAGACTTTTATATGCCTGCCTGCAGTCCCTGTGCACCTACCTTTCAAAGAACCAAGAAAGTTGTCAATTAAACAAAGTTTCCCTCGTTTTGCCCAAACGGGGAAACTTTGGTTAAGAGCTTCAGAACAAGTCAGGATGTTGAAGCCAACAGTTGAAGTTGGTTTAATAGCCTGACTTGGAACAAGTAACCAGAATTTCCCAGTTTGGATGAAACTGGAAACTATGATTTATTAAAGGCTTTCCTGATTAAATTGTGGCTCACACAAAGAGAGAAGAGTCTGCCTGTGCAGGAGAAGGTTCATTCATATCTTGCAAAGCTGAGAACATGGTGATTCAACCAGCTCTAACCATAGACATGGCTCTGAATTTTTAGGGTTGCCATCACAGTCGATCTGGAATTTCGATTAGGACACCCTAGCCATTTGTCATGGACTTATCCAACCAAAAACCAGTGTCTTCGGGCAGACAGTATTTGGGGGCAGGGGACTGCTTTTCACTTGATTTTAAAAATAATGAAATATTTAGAAATTTTCACTATCTTAATTGTTGTTCATGGAAGATTAAGTTTAAGTCTTTCTTTAAAAAAAAGAAAAAGTTACCAGCTTTACCCTAGCTGTAAAGTCAAATTTGAAAAGACTTAAAACCTGGAACGGTGGTGGAGAGATTAATGGGAATTCTAAACTTGGGGCTTTAAGTTCGTGATATGAATCTATGGTGGGCAGCCCCCCCCACTTGGAATAACTAGGGGACAGGGTTGTGGATGCCATCACCGTCAATAGTGGTGTTGTAGTGTTTAGAGCTACAAACTTTTCATGCTGGTGACACCTTTTAGACATGCATCATTTTGTGACACAGTAATTCAATTTTACTAGCAAACCAGAGGTTAAATTAACCTCTTTCCAGCCCCAGGAGGAGCACAGGGAACATTTGCGCAACACACCTACACACAGCAGCCAACACATTCATGTGTCAAGACACACAGTTTGGAAAGGTCTGAGTTGGGGTATGGACTAGGCCTGGGAGACCAGGATTCAAATCATCACTCGGCCCCATGAAGCTCAGTGGGTGACCTAGGGCTAGTCAGTGCCTCTCAGCCTAACTTACCTCACAGGACTGTGGGGATTAAATGAGGAGGGGGAGAACCATGAAGCGCTTTGAGCTCCTTGGAGAAAAATAGATGGAAAAGGTTCCAAAAAAGCAACCAAATTTATCAAGGGGTTGGAGCAACTTCCCTATGAAGAAAGTTGGACAGCGTTTGGGGCTTTTCAGTTTGGAAAAAAGGCAGGAAAGAAGGACATGAATAAAGGTGTATCAAATCTGAGAAATTCAACATAGAAATATTTTTCTCCATCTGGAAACAGTAGAAACTGGTAGTCATCCAATAGAGAGAGAGGAGAAGTGAAAGGGTACCCTGATTGGTGGGTTGGAGGTAAGACTATTGGAGAACTCCATTAGAAGCAGAAAGAGGAGTAGAATTGCTACAGGTTCCATGTTTGGAGGTCAGGAATGGAAATCATGCAAGCAAATACAAGTGGTATTTGCTACTGCTGCTTTTTTAAGTCCACAAATGTTATGTAAATAATTGTGTGTCATTGTCTGCATTGACAATACATTCCTCTGAAATGCATTGAAATTGATTACACAATTATTAATTATGCCAGCTTTGGCCATAGCCAATTGTGAGGCTAGCAGACGGCTTTTAGCGGAAACAAACCGCAGTGAAACGGAAGCAGTGCTGATAGCGGAGAACACTCGATGGGATGAGAATAGCTGCTACTCCTCACATCCCTAGTTGCAGGAATGAATTGACACAAGCTGCCTTCTGCAGAGTCATGTCTTGGTCCATCCAGCTCAGCATTGTCCACCCTAACTGAAAATGACTCTCCAAGACCTCCCACAGAGGTTTCACCCCATCTCTTTGCTGCTCGAGGTTCCTTAACTGGAGAAGACAGGACAGAACAAGGTTCATACCTGTGCAAAGCACATGCCCCTCCATTAAGGCCTCATCTGAGCTTTACATTCAAAGCATCATTGTACCACTTTAAACTATCATGGCTTCCTCAAAGAATCTTGGGAACTGTAGTTTGCTTAGGATGCTGAAAGTTGCTAGGGGACTCCTGTTCCCTTCAGGCAGCTAGCTCCATTTCCCAGAGTTCCCTGGGAAGATGGATTGATTGCTAAACCATTCTGGGAACTGAAGCTCTGGGGAGATGGGCATCAACACTTTTCAGCACCTACAGTTCCCAATATAATTGGGCGGAAGCCGTGACGGTTCAAAGTGGTATGATATTGCTTTTAATGCATAGTGCATATGGGGCCTGAGTGATGTTCTCCTCCCACTGGAGGAGGAGAGGTATCTGTAATGACAGGCAAGTCTATTTCTGGCTTCATTGCACATAGTGATCTCATGGGGCAATATAATAATAAATAATAAAATTTTATTTATATCCCGCCCTCCCCAGCTGAAGCCAGGCTCAGAGCCTCTTGCCTGTGTCCTGCCCCTCCCTTTTCATCTAGGCAGGTAGCCCTAGGCCAGGCTTCCCCAACCTCAGCCCTCCAGATGTTTTCAGACTACAATCCCCATCATCCCTGACCACTGGTCCTGCTAGCTAGGGATCATGGGAGTTGTAGGCCAAAAACATCTGGAGGGCCGAGGTTGAGGAAGCCTGCCCTAGGCCATTGGGGACCAGTGCTTTGGCTTGTTTCCTCACAGGGGCAGGGGGAAAGGAATGTGAACCAGTGCAGCATGTATTTGCTCTGCGTTGAGGTTATGTAGAATTATTTTCCCCTGCATTAATGATTATGATGGTGCCTTTGAAGACCAGTTGCTGGCAATCCCAAGTGGGAGAGCTACTGTTTCATGCATGTCCTGCCTTTTGGCTTTGCTTTAGGGTCATCTGGTTGGCCATGGGGGGGCGGGCAGGATTCCAGACCAGATAGGCTTGCTCCAACAAGGCTCTTCTTATGTCCATAGTGGCTGTATAGAACCTTCAGGATCAGAGGTGGTGTATCTCTAAATACTGCTTGCTGTGAACCGTAAGTGGGGGAAATGCTCCTTCAGTCTTGCTTTTGTACTTCCCAGAGCCATCCAGTTGGTCATTTTGGAAAGAGCATGCTGGGTTAGATAAGCCTCTAGCTAGCCTGTTCTAGAGGGACGCGGGTGGCGCTGTGGGTTAAACCACAGAGCCTAGGACTTGCCGATCAGAAGGTTGGCGGTTCGAATTCCCTCGATGAGGTGAGCTCCTGTTGCTCGGTCCCTGCTCCTGCCAACCTAGCAGTTCGAAAGCACGTCAAAGTGCAAGTAGATAAATAGGTACCGCTCCAGCGGGAAGGTAAATGGTGTTTCCATGCGCTGCTCTGGTTTGCCAGAAGCGGCTTAGTCATGCTGGCCACATGACCCGGAAGCTGTACGCCGGCTCCCTCAGCCAATAAAGCGAGATGAGTGCCGCAACCCCAGAGTCGTCCGCGACTGGACTTAATGGTCAGGGGTCCCTTTACCTTTACCTTTACTCTGATCTAGTTGGAGGGATTTCTCTTTAAGTGAGCTGTCTCCAGACTGTCAGCATTTCTGTGAGTGGAATTCAAGCATATCCGGGAAAAGTTAGGTTTTGCTAAATTTGTTGAGTATTTAGCAGATTACTTGCACTGCGGAAAGCATGCTGGGGAGACCACACATTCAGGAAACAACAAAGAAATACAAAAATAACTTTTGCTTGGCTTTAATTACAAAAACAAAAACTCCTCTTACATTAAATTACATTACATCTGTAAGTATGACCCATCCATCAACCCATTCACCAGGGTACTGAGAGAGGTTCACACTGCTCTTTACATACTGTACCCAATTGCTGACACAGCTTAATTAACACAACTTAAAAGCACCTGCTATACTGCTTCACAGCTGTAAAACTAGTCATAATATTTGCTCTGGCCTTTAAAGAGATAACACATCTTGTGAAACAATAATGAACCTTAATATTTAAAGAAAACATTCAACAAATTTATGCATCCTGCCATGTCCTAGCACAGCAAATCTACACTTAAAAATAAAAAGAGTTTTGTGGTTAAGAAAGTGACAGGGAAATGTATTGAAAAAATGAATAAGGTGAAGACTTGCATAAACAGCCTGTGAGGAACTTGGGGCGATCGCCTACTGTTTTATAACCACCCCACAAACAAATCAGAATGAATGTTCAATAATGCCTTGTCTTCTGCAACATATGATTGCCTTAATCACAGCACATTAGTGGTTCTGTGATTCTTCCTCACTGTTCCTGCATTATTGCCATCTAAAAGGCCCTTGCCCTTGCCCATATTTGTGGTTTGAAAAGCTACTGGAATTTAGCAGGACACGCACCTTTGGCAAACGAAGTAGTGTGGGAGCCCCAAAACTTTTGTAGGTACAAATGTTATTGAATGCACGATCTTGTGCAACCACCGTGATAACATCATGAGCATAAACCTTGCCGAATGTGCAATAAAAAGGATGTTGGGAGAGGCTCATAATCTAAACTGTATTTTAATACTTTGTTGGAAGCTGCCCAGAGTGGCTGGGGAAACCCAGCCAGATGGGAGGGGTATAAATAACTTCTTCTTCTTCTTCTTCTTCTTCTTCTTCTTCTTCTTCTTCTTCTTCTTCTTATTATTATTATTATTATTATTATTATTATTATTATTTACTCCATGTAAGCCTTGGGCAAGCCAATATTGGCAAACAATCAATATATAAATCTTATGGAGAATCCCCAGTTACGTAAAAGCAAGCTACAGTCATACCTTGGAAGTCAAACAGAATCTGTTCCAGACATCTGTTCAACTTCCAAAGTGTTCAAACACCAAAGCACGTTCAAAAACCAAAATGTTCAAAAACCAAAGGAAGTTCCTGCAGCCAATCAGAAGCTGTGGAAACCCCATAAGATGTTCGGCTTCCAAAAGAACATTCAAAAACCGGAACAGTCACTTCCAGGTTTCAATTGTTCGGAGCCAAAATGTTCGAGAACTAGGCTGTCTCTATATGTGGGGCACTCAGGTCCTGCCTGTGGAGTTCCTGATGGGATGTTGTTTGACCACTGTGAGAACAGGGCATACTGGACTAGATGGGCCACTGACCTGATCCAGCAGAGCTCTTTGTAATGTTCTTACATTCAGCTTTAGATTCATCAACCTACATACTGAGGAAGGGCTGCAGCTCAATGACAGAGCATCTGCTTTGCATGAAGAATGTCTCAGGTTTAACCTTTCACTGCACATTTCTTAAACCTTTACCATATATTTGCACTGTGGTAGTGCTCCTGTTGTGACTCACCTTGGATCATGCCATGGCCAGTGATGCTGAAGACCAGTGATGCTGACAATACTGAGCTAGATGGACCACTGGATGTAGCTGCGGCAGAGCATCTGCTCTGCATATAGAAGGTCCCTTCTTCCATCCTAGGACCTTCCCTGGTATTGACGATCTCCATCGTCAAGTTGCTTCATAAGCATGCATAGATTAACTTAGAGATTGCTGACATGAAGAAACAATTGCATCACACACAGGTGATTTAGCTTGGGTGCAAGGCTACATAGTGCGTTCAGGACAGATGCAAGATCCAAACCACAGGCTTCTTGAGCTGCAGCTTGTTCTCAGTTGCATCAGCACTGCAAATGAGTTGCATCGTCCAACAACCATGTCATTAGGATGCCACAAGAGTCTTTGATTTTTTGCTACCTTGTATGTTGGTGTAGGGGGTGGGAGGAAGAGAGAGCATTTTCTTACTGGCAGGCCTGCTTTTTGTATAATGCCCCCCTGCTCTGGAACAGATATGATGGGGTACCTGGACATTGTGGAAGTCCACACCCTAGACCAGCCACTGGTCCTGCTTGCTATGAATGATGGGAGTTGTAGTCCAAAAACATTCAGGGACCCAAGCATTGGCTGCTCTAGGGGAGGGATAGAAAACCTGCGGCTCTCCAGATGTTGGACTCCAACTCCCATGAGACTCCAGATGGAAATCTTGGAGGGAGCCGCTGCCAGTCACTGTAGCTAGATGAACCAATGGTCACATTTGATACAAAGCAACTTCCTATGTGTCATTTCAGAAATACTTTATGGGACCACCACAATATTTCCTAAGATGTTCACATTGTTTAATCTGACATTGGTGATGTCCTGATTTTGCGCCTGATCTCCTTGGTAGAAACCTATGTGTATGTTGCCTCTCTCCCTAATTCAATGAAATATTAGATTCCACCCCTTACCTTGCCTTTGCTGTATCACGTGCAGACAAACCACCAGAAATGGAGCAACAAAAAAAGACCGTCTCGATCCCCATGATTCCCCTGGCACAGCAGCCAGAACCATTTGCACCAGGATATTCATCACCATACCCACAACAGTCATCATATAATCCGGAACCTTACGCCCAGGAACCTTACGCCCAGGAACCCTATGCACCAGATCCATTCTGGCCAGAACCTTCTACTTCATCAGGTAGGCAAGTGGCAAATGTTATAGGATGCACAGAAACACACTCACAAGTGGGCAGCTTTAGTCCAAACTAAATTAGGAAGGTTGGCCACTTGCCAGCCCCACGTTCAATACCAGTAACAGAAGCTATGACCCACACTTTATCCCAGGTACTAGGATGGGTTATTCCCTTGTACGCCTCCTTCTGGCAACTCCTGCAACCAAGCTGGCGCCAAACGTATTGCTCTGCTTTCCTATGGACCACATCAGCGAGGCTGAGCAAGGGAGGTGACTTCACTGAAGGTGCATTCCATTGTCTCTTGAAACAGATGCCAACAACAACAGATGGGTTATACTGCAATTATTTAGCAAGGCTCTTCATATGTTCTCAGCTGAAGCTGCCTGGGAAATCCTATGCAACTAAAGGTTCTTCTGCTTGTTTTTTCTTTTTCTTTTGGTGCAGGTGGCTATGGCTATGGGAAAAGCGGCGATGGCTACGACTGTCCATCTCCACCACCATATTCATGTCAAGATGTCCCTTGTGATCAAGTAGGACCAAGTATGTGTTAGAAACCTATACAGATTGGATTACTGTGATGTGCTGTGTGTGTGGGATTTCCATGTGCATGATCCGGAAACTGCAGTTAGTGCAAAATGCTGCAGCACAGTTGCTGGCCAGATCAAGACCCCATCAGAATATAACACTCCTGGCTCAGTCATCTGCACTGGCTGCCAATTTTTTACTGAGCCAGTTTCAAGGTGTTAGTATCTTTTTTTTAATAAAAAAAACAACCTGTAACTGCTTGAGATCAGTTAACTTGAAGGCTCACCTTGTACCATATATGCCCACTCAACCATTATAACCTGTGGAGCTGGGATTTCCTTTTAAAGCATCACTTGTAGGAAATTGAGCTTTGGCAGCTGGAACTCTCTGCCCATTGGCATCAGGCAGGTACCATCACTGTCCTCTTTTCAGTATCAGCTTAAAACCTGGGTAGGCAAACCTACCCAGACTGGTGTGTTGACATTTATATTGTTGTTTTAATGACCTTCTGCCCAGAGATGAGTAACTGCTGGTCTGTGGGCAATACAGGGCTCCACACCCACCCCACAGCTTATTTCCCTTGCCAAAGCCTCTACCCAGCACCACGTTTAGACTTGAAAACATCCACATCATATGGGTGCCAAGAGGAGGGTTTTTTGAAGCCTAAGTTATTATTTTTCTCCACGCAACACAAGGTAGCATAAAGTGTCCCTTAACCATCCTCATTACATCCTCACACCCACCCAGTGGGGTAGGTTTGGCTGAAAGACAGTAACTGGCCCAGTGAGCTTGATGTGAAGAAAAGAATTAAACCCTTCTAGTCCAACAACTCCAAGTGGCTGCTATATCACAAACGCCGTGGGGAGGTATTCTCGATGGATGGGCTGCAGCTGGGAAGTGATAGTGGAACAAAGGTAAATGCTCAGACAGAACAATTTTGTTTTTGCAACTCCTAGTTGAAATGGACTCTGGTCCTCCGGTGGTGGTTGCGGGAATCTTCTCGAGCAAGCCAGCGTCCACCATCTGCCCTTGCTGCCGCCAGATCATTACGACGGAGGTCGTCTATCGTGTGGGAACTCTGACATACATAGCTTGCAGTGCTGTGTGTGTGATGGGGTGAGTGCTTTTTCTATACAAAGAGGTGTACGTACACAGAATGTAATTTTCCGTAATTAAGGCCAGTGCTAGATGAAATGTGAATGTCCTCTTGCCCTGCAGAGAAGCTTGCCTGGTGCCAGCAAATAGGGGTGGGCATGGGCAAACAACTGCAATGCACTGGGAGTCCTTGGTTGTCCTGGAAAGACCCTGCTCTTTTGACACTAGGCACGGTCTGTCTGGGAATGCAGATACATATTTCTCCCATTGAAAGCAGGGAAGAGGCTGTCCCTCATGGTCCAAATGGATGGATGCTCTTGAATACTAAAGAATACACTCCACATTTGGCAGTATTTGGGAAAACATAAGTAATCTTGCTTGAATTTGAAGCTTTGTGAGATTTCATTCCTTGCAAAATGCATGCACACGCAACACACACAGAAGAGTGCCTCCTCCTTCAGAGCCAAGGCAGCTATCAAAAAGGGGAGATGAAAGTTTCTCTCTCTGTATAAGATAGCATCCTAACTTCCTAAAGGAAAGGACTACAGGTAAAGCACCTGCTTTGCATGCAGAAGATCTTAGGTTCAATCCCAAGCATCTCCCAAGTAGTGCCACCTGAAATTCTGGAAAGCCACTGCCAGTTAGTGTAGACAATATTAACATAGATTGACCAATGGTTTGACTCAGAAGGCTGCTTCCTCTGTTCTTAAGAGGGCCTTTTCAGATCCTAGTGAATCTTGCCTGGCATCCACCTAGTTATCTTGTAAGCACCAAACACCTTTTCATTTGCCCAGTCATTTAAAGAGCATTCTATCGCTGAGATTTTTTCTCTTGTGTTTTATTAGTGTTATTGGGGCTATATTTTTAAAATTGTCAAACTATTGCAAACTGTCCTGAAATCAAATTTTTGATGAAGGGATAAAAACAAACCTCTTTAAAACTTTCTGCCCTCTCTTCCAGAGGCTGCATGGGCTGCTGTCTCATACCTTTCATGACGAATTGTTGCAAGGACGTAGACCATTACTGCCCTAAATGCAGGTACCACATCTACCGATACAAGAGACTATAGATGCCTGGAAGAAAAGCCATTTGAGGCCAACTCGCAGGAAATCAAGCTGGAAGAGAATCTCCTTTCCTTCGGTGAATTCATGCATTTGACTCTTGGGACTGTTCCGGGTGCAGAATTGCTCAGCAATTTCCCACTCCTGCCAGCTTTTCAGTTTAGCTTGCCTGGAATGTGGTTGCTGCAGTCTCCTTGCCCCTGCTGACCCCAGAAGGATGAAGCAGGAAGAGGCTGTTGGTAGGTTGGTCAACAGCTTGTGTGCGGAACCTCTTGGCTTTTTGTCTGGGCTTTGGAATCGGGCATCCCTTGATTTCATACTTGCCTTGCATCCCTGTTAGCCTTATTCCCTGAACCAAGCACAGCCATTCTTAGCCTGTGGCCTGGTTGATCATGCACAAACTCCCAAATCAGAAATTGCACAAGAACCTTTTGCACCCGTTTTCCCAAAGTTCCTTTTAGAACACACCTATTTCTATAAGTTGTTTTGCAGCCATCCAGATCTCTCCATCTGCCCGTTGAGAATCTCCCCAGACCACACCTCTCACCAGCATTGCTTCATCCCCCCCCTTTTTTTTTGCCTGGCTGGAATATGTCCTTGAAATCCTGTATTTATTTGCCTGAATGGATCAGAGAGGGGTGTGGGTTTATAAAAATTAGACTACTGTACAAAGGTTACACTTGTTGATCTGCCAATTTGGCCTCTGGTCCTAGCCACTGCTGCCATGTGGCCCTTACGAGGTTGTCTCAGAAGGAATGTGGCCCTTCATCTGAAAAGGGTCTGAGCTTAGCAAATCACTTTTCTTTCATTCTCTCCCAGACTGTTTGCATTTTGGAAATGGATGGTGAAAGGTTTTAGGAAGTTTACAAGAAGTTGTGACTATTTATGGAGCTCCTTACTTTGAGGCACACCAAAGCTTTAGACCTTTGTGTAATTTATGCAGCAGAAATATTACATTGTTTAGAAAAAAAAGAAATGTTTCTGGATCATCTTTTGTACCTTCGTGGCACTTTATTTTCCTGTGTGCAGCCTTTGCATTATTCAGAAATTCTAAGAAACCATTAAAAAAAAATTGGTATGTTGTTCAAATCAGTGGTGGTAATGGAGCTTTCCTCTGTAGCTCAAACCGACAAAGCAGCTTTGTCTTAATGCCTCACCCTTCCTGGAATATAGGGATTGCTATGCAGGACCTGCTCTGCTGGTCTGTTGTGCAGATTACTGATACCATTCATGACATGCCTTGAAAAAGCCTAAAACGATATACGACTGCAAAGTTAGAAGCAGCAGAAATTAACTTTGCATAAATCTGAACTTGCGAACATTTTTAACTATACAATAAAAGGTAAAGGTAAAGGTACCCCTGCCCGTACGGGCCAGTCGTGTCCGACTCTGGGGTTGCGCACCCATCTCGCTTAAGAGGCCGGGGGCCAGCGCTGTCCGAAGACACTTCCGGGTCACGTGGCCAGCGTGACAAGCTGCATCTGGCGAACCAGCGCAGCACACGGAAACGCCGTTTACCTTCCCGCTAGTAAGCGGTCCCTATTTATCTACTTGCACCCGGGGGTGCTTTCGAACTGCTAGGTTGGCAGGCGCTGGGACCGAGCAGTGGGAGCGCACCCCGCCGCGGGGATTCGAACTGCCGACCTGATGATCGGAAAGTCCTAGGCGCTGAGGTTTTACCCACAGCGCCACCCGCGTCCCTATACAATACTTCCCAACAAAACTGTGTGAAAAATTTATAGCAACAGCACTTGTTTTGACATGCAAAATAAAGTATGTTGCTGTTGTTGTTAGTCTGGCAGTAGGCAAAACTGGGAATGTTATTTAAAAAAAGAAAAAGCAGAACAACCAGCTATCCAGACTTTCCACGCCAAATCTCTTTTGAGTTTGACACAAGCTCTCCATTGCAAAGCACGGTCTACTGCAGAACAGCTTGCCCCTACCTGTTCATCTCATATGATAAAAAACAGGAAAATAGTTCAGAGATCTGATTAACAGGGTGTGGGTGTACTTACCTTATTCACAGGGGTACAAACTAGGCCAAGATTCTTGGTCCAAGTGATTGAGTTGGCTACCTTTTTAGCATCAGCTAGCTAATAAATTAGCACGCCCAAACCATCAACTCCTGTACCTTTGTGAGAAACATCAAATCCCACCAATTTCCTGCTGAACGAGTGTGCGCCATCTAGTGGCAATGCCACAGGCGTCAGTTTTCAATACACCTCATTATTTTTAGTACAGTGCGTACTGGACTTTTGCAGCACAATTGACAATATTGCAAGCTTAATTTGGGGGGGAAAGCATCATTGCAAAAGGTAAAGGTACCCCTGCCCGTACAGGCCAGTCGTGTCCAACTCTAGGGTTGCGCGCTCATCTCGCTTAAGAGGCCGGGAGCCAGCGCTGTCCGAAGACACTTCCGGGTCACGTGGCCAGCGTGACGAAGCTGCAGCTGGCGAGCCAGCACCAGTGCCGGACACGGAAACGCCGTTTACCTTCCCGCTATAAAGCGGTACCTATTTATCTACTTGCACTTAGGGGTGCTTTCGAACTGCTAGGTGGGCAGGAGCTGGGACCGAACGACGGGAGCTCACCCCGCCGCGGGGATTCGAACCGCCGACCTTATGAACGGCAAGTCCTAGGCACTGAGGTTTTACCCACAGCGCCACCCGCATCCCTAAGCATCATTGAATGGTCAGCTAAAGCCAGTATTTCAGGAATTCTAATATTGGTAGCCCATCTTGACTGGGATAAATTATTCATGAAATTTCCTAAATTCTAATCAGATGTTTTAAAAATCATTCGGTTTCAGCTGAGATGGCTCAGCTGGTAGAGCATGAGACTCTTAAACTCAGGGTCATGGGTTAGAGCCCCACACTGAGCAAGATATTCCTGTATTGCAGGAGGGTTGGACTAGATTGCCCTCTTGGTCCCTTCCAATTCTGATTCTGTGATTAACTCAAGTTATTTTTCTAGTTCATTTGTGTGTGCATGTGTAACTCTCGAGTACGATTCCGAAAATGCCCATTTTTTCTTTTCTTTTTGCTACATTTATATTTTTGCAGCCATCAGTAGGTCTGTTACCAGCAGATAAATGTTAGGTGCTCAAGTGGTGGAACCTTGCAGTTCAGGGGGGGTTAGGGAGAGATGATGTCACAGGCATAGGCAAACTCGGCCCTCCAGATGTTTTGGGACTACAACTCCCATCATCCCTAGCTAACAGGACCTCTGGAGGGCCGAGTTTGCCTATGCCTGGATTATGAGCTGCTCAAAATGGCACCCAACCACGTGTGGTTCTTCAGGACAGATAAAAGAAAGCCCTTCTTCATGCAGTGCAGTTAAAATATCGAACTCTCTCCCCAAAAAGGCAGTGATGGCCACCAAGCTTGATGACTTTAAAGCAGGCTTCCTGAACCTCGGCCCTACAGATGTTTTGAGACTACAATCCCCATCATCCCGGACCACTGGTCCTGCTAGCTAGGGATCATGGGAGTTGTAGGCCAAAAACATCTGGAGGGCTGAGGTTGAGGAAGCCTGCTTTAAAGGAAGATTGGACAAATTCATGAAATGGAAGGCTACCTACAGCTACTAGTCATGATGGCTATGCTCTGCATCCACAGAGCCAACAATGCTTCTGAATACCAGTTGCTGCAGCCCAAAGGAGGGAAGTGTCCTTTGCAGGCTTGCTGCAGCCCAAAGGAGTCATGTCCTTTGCAGGCTTCTCAGAGACATCCAGTTGGCCACTGTGAGAGCAGAATCATGGATTAAATGAGCCACTGGCCCGATTCAGAAAGCTCAGTTTATGTTCTTATCTGTTGCAAAAATCCTACCCCATGTTAAATCTCTGCATGCTGCATTTTTCATTTTGGTTGGCTCAATATATAAAAGAGAATCTTTAACACCAGTGTCCACTCCTCCACCCTAATCTAGTTTTGAACAAGTGTCCCCAAAACAGGGTGTTTTATAGCAATTCCTAATATACTGTTCCACCTGCATCGAAATATCCCATTATTCCTTTCTAAATATGAAATGATACTTTTCCTAGGCTGGATTTTTGGGGGGAGTGGGGTGGGGTTCAAAGAAAAGTTCATATAGGCACATCTTGATTTTTGATAAAGTGCTCAAATCCCTGTAAACACAACTGCTAAGAGTCAAATACTAAACTGAACACTGATGGGAAAATATTTTAATTCTTGGCAAATGAGAAGAGCATTTAAAAAAAACACAACAATCTTGGGCAGTATAAAACTGCTAAGCAGCATGGATGCTTTATCTGGTAAGAAAAGGGGGTATTAACACACACCACAAGGGGTTTCTTTATGGTTCTGGAAATAAGCACAGAAAGACCAAAGAAGAAAGGCCTTGTAAAAGTTGGCAGAGTTTACCTACAGGGCTGCCTGAGATTAAGACCATGTTAGTATTGCAAAATTCATGTTCTAAGCAGTGCTTGTGGTCAGGTTTTCCCCTCCTTAGGAGACGCTTTGGAGATTTCACAGGTGCTGTCCACACACACTTCCAAGCCTATTTTACAACCTTAAGGGCTAGAAACCTGATTTATCTTGGGCTAACTAAATTCTGAACCAATACAAATTTACATGTTTCCACAAGTGCACCTATAGGCACTTCTATTAAATTTCTCTTGCAGAAGCTTGAATTTTAAACAATTGGTTATGAACGTACGGACAACGTTGCAAGGAGGGCCTAGAACTCTACAAAGGCTCTGTGCCAGATGTTTTTGATACCTGGAATATCTTTGTCACAATTAAACGTCATCTAATGCGGAAACACACAACTTTGTAAAGCTCCAAAATGTTGCCACTTGGAACTCTAACTACAGGGATGGGGCATCTCAGGCCAAAAGTAGCCTTCCGAGCTTCTCTTGACTCCCCCTGCTCCACCCTCCCCAGGTCACAGACCTCACTGGAATGGGCTTTGACCTGTGATAATGGCTCTTTATTACTTTGATGGAGGGACAAGATGGAAGAGATTCTCTTTGTGTGTGTGTTAGAAACCTCTGGCTTTTGCATGGCTGGAAGGTAGCTTACTGTAAAGGTACCCCTAACCGTTAAGTCCAGCCGCGGACGACTCTGGGGTTGCGGTGCTCATCTCGCTTTACTGATCGAGGGAGCCGGCGTTTGTCCACAGTTTTTTGGGGTCATGTGGCCAGCATGACTAAGCTGCTTCTGGTGAACCAGAGCAGTGCATGGAAACGCCGGTTACCTTCCCGCCAGAGTGGTACCTATTTATCTACTTGCACTTTGATGTGCTTTCGAACTTCTAGGTAGGCAGGAGCAGGGACCGAGAAACGGGAGCTCACCCCATCGCGGGGATTCGAACCGCTGACCTTCTGATCGGCAAGCCCTAGGCTCTGTACAAGTTTAAATCAAACCTATTGCTCCATCCGCCACCAGCAAGTGGTGAATGGAAAATAGTTCCCCAACCCCCTGCTCTGTCAAGACCGTTTCAAGACTCTCACAGCCCAGGGAGTGGTGTCAGTTGAGGCACAGAATGGACACAGGCCTTCCGCTGTCCCTGAAGAGGCCTGGATAGGTCTGAACTGCACATAGTTGCACATCCATGAGGCTCCAAACATGTACATGGGAACCGAGAGCGAACTTTCTTCCTTTTCTTCTTCTTCTTCTTTTTAAAAAAAGATCAGGGAAATAAGAGTGCCTCTTGAAAAGAAATACAGAACAAAAGAAAAGCACCCCAGAAATACCAGTTTTCAAATCCATGGCCAGGGGCACAGAGATGTGATAAAGAAGTCAAGCCCTTCATATGGCATAAATCATATGCGGGTGGGAGAATTGCAAAAGAAAAAGAGGCGCTCAGAAAATACCATATAAATAGTGGTGCAAACCAGTGATGTAGAAATGGAGAACATCTGGCCAATGTGGCCCACAATGCAGTTTACCCCAAATGGCATCCGCTTGTCATATGTGACATCTGGAATGGGGTTGGGAAAGCTGCTTTCTGCAGGGATTGACTGTGCAACTGAGTTTCCCAACTGAGTTCCATGCTTGATGTCTGGAAGCCCCCAGCACAGGGCTCAAAAAGTCCCTTTGCACTGCGGTTCCCAGGCACCTAGTCCACCTGCCATTAAGATGACTGGCAGCTGTACTGTACCACCCACTTGTCAAAACTGGCTCACAGAGGTGGGGACCAAAATGGATCTAGCCCCTGGGGTGAAAAAAAGGGCTCCCCACCACTCCTGCTGTAAGACTTGGGCAGCGGAAAGCATTCCATATGCCTCTCCCACTCCAAAGCCATTAAACTATCAAGACAGAGATAAGGCAAGGCAGAAGGGAAGCCCTTTCCATGTGTGCCGGCAGGAAGGCGGTACAGTGGTACCTCGGGTTAAGTACTTAATTCGTTCCAGAGGTCTGTACTTAACCTGAAACTGTTCTTAACCTGAAGCACAACTTTAGCTAATGGGGCCTCCTGCTGCCGCTGCGCAATTTCTGTTCTCATCCTGGAGCAAAGTTCTTAACCTGAAGCACTATTTCTGGGTTAGCGGAGTCTGTAACCTGAAGCGTATGTAACCCGAGGTACCACTGTACTGAGAAAAGGAATTATGAGTTGATAGTGCCAGGTGCATAAACTAGTGTGGGAGTGCCTCCTCTGATCCAGATGTTTAGGGGAGAAAGAGAGCTGCAGAGGGGCACCCCTGCAGGGCTGGCCAGTTTGTGGAAATGGGGACAGAAGCCCAGAGAGTGGAGGGCAGCTTTGGCATCCTCTCAAACTGGGTAGCAGATCTACTAGTTGATGCTGTCTGTGAGTGCTGCCTGGCACAGCATCAGCAATAAGCTGTGATTCCTGCATTGCAGGGGGCTGTACTAGATGACCTTGGTGTCCCTTCCAACTGTACAATTCTATGAGCCACCATGGAAATGTGTTTAGAGGGCAAAGAAAGCAGGTGGAATCAGTGGAAATGGCACCACAACAGGATTAAGTTCTCAGTATGAATGTGGTTAACTGACCAGTGTTCCCACCGAGTTTCTGGAATTTACCCAAGTGCAGTTTGAACTATTTGGCTGCAGAGGTTTGACAGTCCTCTATGAATTTCACCACCGCATCTCTTTCGTGCTACAGACACAGCTCTGCATAATCATTTTATTGCCTGTCAGTAGGAACCCAGATACAGCAATGCCTCTGGAGCAGTGCCTTTCATTTTGAGGATTAGATAACTGATGCTGCTCAAAGTTCAAATATGATGAATGGATGACACTTACCCTTATCCCTAAATTAAGGCTAGATTTCAAATGTGGATTAACTGGCAAAATAAAAATAGAAGATTGTGTCTAAACAAAATCTTCAGAAAACTTGCAAGGAGAGTGGAAATCTTCTTCAACGTCCAGGCCATCACTCACTGAAGTAAAATTTTATAGAAAATTTTTATTCAACATACAACATTTTTTTCCAGCAAAAAAAGAAAAAAAAGGCAATATACAGGAAGAATTGTTGCACACCGCAGCTACAGAAACAAAATAAAATATTGGCAGGAGGGAATGGAGGAGGGGGGAAGAGAAAGAATGAGAAATAATGTTGGGCGGGGGAGTGTAAATTGCTGCTTCTATATTTTTACCGCACTCAAAAACTTAGGAGAGACACATGGGGCTGCTTGTAGCTCCAAACTAAAATGGAAAAGCAGTCTGGGGACTGAAATAAAACTACACACAATGAATATTGACATCTGTGAAATTCACTTGCAGACTCACCCTGCCCCCCAGCCGCCCCCCCCAAAGGAACCCCAAATGTTAAATTGTACATGTTCCTCTGTTAAATATACAATTTGTTTTCTTCCCCCTCCCAAGCCCCACCCCCCGCAATTTTTACAAAGTCAACAGCTTACTAAATGCTAGTGAACATGCCCTCAGTGCTAAAAGGCTATTTTGTTTTGTCTTCCTATGTCTTCCCAGATTAACTAAATTAATTATAAAACAGATGCCTTTTCCTTCTTCAAATTCTCTGGGAAGTTGGTACTATGCTTGTAAATCTCACTGCAACCAAGGGATTTTACTCTCAAACCGTTTCTAAAGGGATACAAATACACTGCACCTCCTTCGGGGGGGTTCCCCAACTTCTTCCTTGGCAAAAGGTGATGTGAGAAAAACAAATTTGACTCAAAATCCATTTATTTATAATAATAATAATATTATAATAATAAAAAGAGAAATTCTAGGCTGATTGAAGAGACAAAATCTTCCCCCCTCGAATAAGTGCCAACAGTGTACACAATGAAGTAGAGATTGCTATTTATTGATGATGTGAGTTTCTCTTTGCATTTACAAATGCACAAAAATGTCATTTAAAGTATATAACTGAAGGAAATAAATTGGGCGTGAGCCTAACCATAGCGCCAACTAGCTGCAGTGATGGCAGGTACCACGCATTTGGGAAGTGGGGGAGGGAGGAGGGGAGGGCAAGGGAGGGGGGGGTCAGCCAGAAAAGGCTGTCCAGTTAACGTACTACAGACAATATTTCGCCAATGTCAACTGCTCTAACTCAACCCTTTCCTTCTTATGCTGACAATCTCGCTTTGTTTACATTTCCCATAAAAACTCTCATTGGCACCCAAGCTTTTATAAAACACCTTCATTTTTGCTCAAAAAGAAAAAAAAAAGAAAGGGCAGTCAATAATAGATACAGAGAAGCCAAACTGAACAGCCTCAAAATAAAATTAATAAATCAGCAGCAAATCCTCTTGCTGGAGACTTCCGATCGAGTGCACGTGTACCAAAAGTCCTACAGTTGTTAAAAAGGTGCGCACACACACACACACACGCACGCACGCACACACACACATTGTTGCCCCTTTTGCCTCGAACAAACTGGAGAGGGTAAGTCAGTTATGGATTTTAATAGCTTTTTCAAGGTACGTGTAGCGACTTCTCTTTGGGGCTTTGTTGAAATGGTCAAGCCCTAGCCATGGCCTGGGATGAGACATGTTGCCTGGAAGGGAAGAAGAAGAACAAAGAAGAAAGAAGCGAGAAAGAGGGAGAGGGAGAGACAGAATGAACACACTTTCAGATTGTTTTGTACAAAATTTAGAATGTCAAAAACTGAGGGTGGCATTCAGTGATGTGGTTCTGTCAGTGCAAAAGAACTTCCCCTCCCTGTCCTCTCTCCCTGTGTGTGTCCTCCCTGCTTCAGCTCTGCCAGCAACGGGGGAACCCCCAGAACAGATTTAGGGGGTCCATGGGAAGAAGAGAGAGAGAGGAAGTTCTGTTGCACAGCCAAGTCCTAGCACTAATGGAACAACTTCACTGGATGCTGCACAGAGTAAAGTTGTCACTCTAACACAGGCTTCTATGACAAAACATATGCTAATATATGGAGCTGGTGGGCTGTGTTCACCTCGGAGGGCAAGACACTGAGCAGGTGAGAGAATAAACGCCACACGTGGAAGTCTGCCCCACTGATCTTCAAGGAGCCAAAAAAACATAAACCCCTCCTAGAAGCAAAGTAAATAAATGGACACTCACCAGGTTGGGGCTCAAAATCTTTCAAGTTCACTTCATATTCATCTTCATTTAGATACTGGTGTCGACCCATCATTACAATGGCAAACTTAAACTTCAGAAAGAACAAATAAATAAATAAAAACGTCAGAGCTCAAATGCTAATTTCTCAAGGAGTATTGTTAAGAAAATTATTTTCGTAGACTTCAAAGCCTCCCAGTCTCTCAACCCAGTCTCCCTTGGAAGGTGGTGGACTCTCTTTCATTGGAGGTTTTTAAGCAGAGGTTGGTGGCCCTCCGTCATGGATGCTTTAGCAGAGATTCCTGCATTGCAGGGGGTTGGACTAGAATCCAACACTTGAGTCCCTTCGAAATCTGTGATTCTAACCAACAGCATGGAAACAGGCCAAAGCTAGTGTTCCCATTTAGTTGTTTACTATCAGCACCACCACCCCACACACACCATAGACAAGTGCCAATTCCCAAGGTGGGCAACCTGGCGACCTCCACTAGCCATGCTGGCAGCTGGGGCTGACAGCAGCTGGAATCCAACAACATCTGGAGGGCACAGGGGGTTCAGCTGTGCTGGGCTTCTTGCCTTTCCCATTGCCAGGACAGTAAGATTTGATCTCCTATTACATTACAAGCAGGATCCCACTATTCTAGCACCAGTGGAGATGGCCCCCTGGTGTTGCCCCTCCTTGTGCCACCATGACTGAGGTGGCTGTCAACTGACTCACACTTTACCTTACCTCACAGTGCCACTGCGTTTCCTAGCGGAGCCCAGTGGCTGCTTGGATTGAGGCATTCACTATCTTTAATGTCCCATAATAAAATGCCGTGGAGCACCCTCAGCAGAATTATGGGGAATTAAGATAGAGGTGATACAGGCCTGATGGGAAGGTGTTTGGTGGGGTTAATTTTGGAGGGGGCTCACTCAGTGGTTCTCACCATCTGTGCAGGGACTGGCAGGGGGTGGGGAGGCCGGGCTCTACCAGCTATTGATATATGCAAGATATGATGATGATGATGATGATGATGATGATGATGATACTAGTGTCATACCTTGGAAGTCGAATGGAATCCGTTCCAGAAGTCCGTTTGACTTCCAAAATGTTTGGAAACCAAACTCAGCTTCTGATTGGCTGCAGGAAGCTCCTGCAGCCAATCGGAAGCCCTGTTGGACGTTCAGCTTCCAAAAATAGTTCGCAAAACGGAACACTCACTTTGTTTGCGGCGTTCAGGAGCCAAAACGTTCGAGAACTAAGCTGTTCGAAAACCAAGGTACGACAATAATAATAATATAATAATACCCTGCCCATCTGGCTAGGTTTCCCCAGTCACTCTGGGTGGCTTCCAGCACAATATAAAAACATAATAAAACGTCAAACGTTAACAACTTCCACACAGGTGGTTCTGATACACAAATGCTGATGCCAGACTGGGCAGGACTTCCTAAAATCCCACCCTCAAATTGCAGAGCATCACAATATGCAGAGAGCGACTTCCTGTGTGGGGACGAAGGGGGCAGAGCACTTGCAGAATTACAGGACATTCATGTTGGCATGGCTAACTCCAGGGTAAAAGACGCAGGTCCCTTCAGAAGCTATGCTATGCTGAGCAACATCTTCCTGAGCGATCTGCTGAGGCAATACCTTTTCAAATTCCTTCTCCTGGATGTCCAGCACTGTCTGAATCCTCTTCATCACCTCTCGAAAGTGTTCACCCTAGGCAGAAAAGCACAACCCCAGCCGTGCAAAAAAATTAATGCCAACCAAAGTTCTGAAACCTATGTGGCTAAAGATGCCACTGAACATGTACTAAAAGGTACTTTGCCAAACTTGGGTATCAGGGAACCTCTAAACACAAACAAAAGGAACTAAATGACCAATTTATGTAAGGCCACCCAAATCACAGAAGCTGAATAAGATATGCATACAAGAAACAATGACCACAGGTGACTATTGCTACTCCTGGATAATCCAGGATTTAATGCAACAAACTTTCCCTTCTAGCAACACCAGTCTTCTCCAATGTGGTGCCCTGCAGCAAACCAGGATGGCACAACATTGGTGAAGGCTACCATAAACCACCTGGGTTGCAATAGTACATAGTTAAGAGAAACAGGAGTCTCACCTGGTGTATCCTTAGCAAGAAAGGAGTGCCAAACGTCCCAAAAACCTCTTTCTGGAAATGAGCCACTGTGATGAGCATCTCATTCTCCTTATCTAGATCTACCTGGTCCAGGGGGATTTCCTGCATTCAAAGACAGCAGCACACATTGCGCATCAGGCAGATGTACCACCAGAAACAAAAGAAGACACAAGCATAAACAACAGCAATGGAAACTGAGTTTTAAAAAAATGAAACTCATGAAATAATGAAAGCCACAGCAGCAGCACAACTTCTTCAATATTCTCTGTGTGTCTAGAAATGAATTGGGCCCTTATAAGGAGACTTCCTAGTTCCTCTTCATTGGGGTGGGAAGAAGTAAGCCCCACCCACCTGCAACTTAGCTGGGGAAGGTTGCTGCAAATGCTAATGAGGTAGAATGGCCACCATCCATTGTTGCTATTTTATGTATGTATTTTTTTTATTTAGAAAGATTTATAAATTGCTTAACCAAATGCGGTGTTAACATAATGAAATTGGGCACAAAATACAGCTAAAATGAAAAAAATTTAAAACACACACACACACACACACACAGAGAGAGAGAGAGAGAGAGAGAGAGAGAGAGAGAGAGAGAAATGGAGCAGAAACTTAAAAATGGATATAGTTAACTAGAATCCTGCTCTAGACACATTATGTCTGCCAATGGCCTCAATAACTAAAACTTGGAACTGTTAACTATGACAGTTCAAATATTCACATTTCACACCACACTGACCTCTATTCGAAACGTTCGACTTGTTGCTGGTGATAAACACTCTAACAATTCATCTTCCTGATGGACACCAATTATTTTGTAACTTACAATTTCTAGCAGCCTTAACAAAGGAAGAGAAACATATTAAGTAAAAACACTTAAGTATTAGGGTTAATGGTCTATATAAACCAACAGTGTCATGGGGCAAATTTCCTTTTGCACAGACTGGGCTTGTGCAAAAGCAGCTCCCAGCAGATGGTACCCAATGTTTTAAGTGGAGTAGACATCGAGTTCTGCTGAGCTAGTTATTTGGCCCTCCAGATGTTAGACATAGAGTTCTGCTGAGCTAATTATTTGGCCCTCCAGATGTTGCTAAACAACATCTCCCATCAACCCCTGCCAGCTTCGGTCTCAAGACCGATGGGAGTCCAACAACATATGGAGGACCAAGAGTTTCCCACTTCTTTAGGGAGTTTTGGTTAATGTCTGATGCTGGAGATACTTTATTTGACATTTGGAATGTTATTAGGTGAACTGTGGAAGAATTCATTCAAGAATATGGGAAAACATTCCAGATTTACAACAAAATAAAGATTCTGTTTTGTAAAGATGTTTAGGTACACCAGTGCTTTTTTAAAAAAAAATGTTTAGGAGTAGTCTCATTTCCCTACTCATATTGAAATAATGTCCCTCAATGAGGCCAAACTTAGATTCACAAAATGTTTAGGGGTATGTGTACCCCTGCATCCCCCCCCCCAGAAAAAAGCACTGAGGTACACACATAAGCCTTATTTACGTGTACAGCAGTCGCAAAGGGAAAAGGGATCACGGCTGGCCTTCTCACCCAGCCCACACATTGCAACCCTGTGCTGTTCCTGCCCTCCCCTCGTCCAAAGAACTCCCTATAGGCACAAGCAGGGAACTGGTGTCCAGGGCAGGACTAGTGCAGCGATCTATTTGGAGCAGGCTGAGAAGTGTAGCTTCTTTATGGAACTACCTTCATGAGAGTGACATGCAATAAGGGCTACCCACACTGCCCTCTCAAGAAGTGATATGAAAGTAAATGAACAAACAAACACTTGCCTTAATTTCCCTGAACCTCTCTCAGCAAGTTCTACAGCTTTTTTACATTCGTCTAATAAGTCCCGTACACACCCATGCTTGTCTGGATATAGTGTTATTTCCTAAACAAACAATAAAGGGCGGGGGGGGGGGAGAGAAGGGAATCAGTAAAGAATAAAATGCTATGGGAAACACGAGGAAATAAAGCATAGAATATAAAAAGTTCTTGTTGCTACAGGCAAGGGCCGAGAACTGCCCAGGGTCTCCCCTGAACCAAAATGAATGAGCACATCTGTTTCCATGACTTTCAACATGGGGCTTGCAACATAGGCAACTTCCCTCCAAAACACGTACAGCTTGTCTATTCATTACACCCTTTATGTAACACATAATTGGACAAATTGCAACCCTGTTGTGCAATTACTCAGGTAGAAGTTCACATAGGGAAACCACAATTTTATGGCACTGAATTTTATGACATGAAAGGCCAATACTTTAGACAGAAAAAACTCATTCTCAGTTTTGGAAATATCAAGGCATTGTATTTTTGCATTATGAGAAAAAGGGATGTCAGAATTTGAATTTTGTAACTAACCAATATTTTGCAATCACTGCCTCAGGAAACAATTGTGGGGCAAATTTTAATCTGTGAATGCATTTAAACTAATCCTCCAATCCTACTTCTTCGATTGCAGGTTAGGTTCAGTATTTTCAAGGGAAAACAACTTACCTCTTCTCTAAACTGGCTGTTTAACCATATGCACTTAAAACTTCTCCTGTTTTCAAAGTCTGTGATTTTCATTTTAAGCTAGGGAGGAGAGAGGGGGAAAAGAAATGTTGTCATTATGCAGATGAACCAAAGAATCTTCCTCCATATATGGACAGGAATATCTCCTACCTGCTGATAGTAAAGTTTCTTGGGCTGTCTAGGCTTGAAGAACTGCAGGAGATCTCTTAAAGTTCCATCATAATTATGTCTAAGAGGGTTACCTGGGCCATCTCTATAACTGAACAAGAAAACCAGGAGAGAAGGTTTTTGAAACACAGTTAGTTCAGTGCTCAAAATCTGTACAGTTGGGTGACACAACTGAGAAAACCCCTACCCTACCCCAGTCACAATCCACTAAACTTTAGATAGCCATAAGGCCCAGAAGAGGGCCTCCAATGAGAAACGAAGGGCTTAGGCAGGCTCATATTCATCTGCAGAGAGTTTCTTGGACCATCATCTTAAGATTGATATATTACTATCAGTGCTGCTACTATAACTTTTACCATATTGACTATAAAACTTGAGGAAGAGTCCTGTTAAACTCAAAAGCTGGATCACTGTTTTGTGTTTTAATTGATGCAATTATGATACTGTGCTTTGTCCCAAGCTTTTAGTCTGTGCAAGGTTCCCTCCCATTATGTTCTTTCTATATATGACAAAACTGGGAGATTTGGGGGAGAGGGCACAGAACCAGGTTACTCTAGGGCAGCGTTTCCCAAACTTTTCTCAACCATGGCCCCCTTCTGCACTTTTTCCCTTCCTGTGCCCCACCACCACCACCCTACCAGAAAGGGACTGTCCCTGGAAAATAGACACACTTGGAGGGTCTGAAAAAGGCGCACAGGGATTTCTGTATATATGGGAGAATTTTAAAAGGCAAGTGGTCCTCACTGACCTAGTGCAAAATGATCTTGTCATCTGGAGGAGCCCTGGCTCCTTTACCTGGGAGTAAGGCCCACTGAACTCAGTGCAGCTTTCTTCTGAGTAAAAAGGGAACCCTGACCATTAGGTCCAGTCGTGGCTGACTCTGGGGTTGTGGCGCTCATCTCACTTTATTGGCTGAGGGAGCTGGCATATAGCTTCCGGGTCATGTGGCCAGCATGACTAAGCCGCTTCTGGCGAACCAGAGCAGCGCACGGAAACGCCGTTTGCCTTCCCACCAGAGTGGTACCTATTTATCTACTTGCACCTTGACATGCTTTCGAACTTCTAGGTTGGCAGGAGCAGGGACCAAGCAATGGGAGCTCACCCCGTCGCAGGGATTTGAACCATGATCTTCTGATCAGCAAGTCCTAGGCTCTGTGGTTTAACCCACAGCGCCACCTACGTCCCTTTCTTCTGAGTAGGCACTTACCGTATTTTTCGCTCTATAACACGCAGTTTTTTCCTCCTGGAAAGTAAGGGGAAATGTCTGTGCGTGTTATGGAGCGAATGCCTACAGATGGCAGGGGAATCCGCTGCAGTTGTGAGCAGTCCGTGGCTCTCTTTGAAACTGCAAAGCGGGTGTAAGCGGCTCCTGTCAGCGAGCCGAGCCGGGCAGGAGGGAGAGAAGCAGAGCGGGGTTGGTTGCTTTAAAACAACCCCGTGCTCTATGTCCCTCTCTCTTCTCCACTGAGCTGCTAAGTAGCAGCAAAGCTTTTCAGCCAGCCTAGCCGGGAGGAGGGAGAGAAGCAGATCGGGGCTGGTTGCTTTAAAACAACCCCGTGTCCCTGCCTGCAGTTTTTTGCTGTCCGGTTTTGGATCAGCCACTGTAGGGGCTGTGTGTGTGTGTGTGTGTGTGCTTGAGCTATCGTTCTCCTCCTCCTCCTTCCTGTTCACTCTCACAGCGCCCCAGCGCTCTCCTGCGACTTTAGGAGTGATACTCTGTGTGTCTCTCTGTGTGTGAGGCATCGTTCTCCTTCTCTTGCTTCCCCTTCACTCTCCCAGCGCCCCTGCTACTTCCAGCGCCCCTGCGACTTTAGGATTGATACTCTGTGTGTGTGTGTGTCTGTGTGTGTGAGGCATCGTTCTCCTCTTGCTTCCCCTTCACTCTCCCAGCGCCCCTGCGCTCTCCTGCGACTTTAGGATTGATACTGTGTGTGTGTGAGAGAGAGGGGGGGGATCGTTCTCCTTCTCTTGCTTCCCACTCCCAGCGCCCCTGCCTCTCCTGCGACTTTAGGATTGCTACTCTGTGTGTGTGTGTGTGAGAGAGAGAGAGGGGGGGATCGTTCTCCTTCTCTTGCTTCCCACTCCCAGCGCCCCTGCGCTCTCCTGCGACTTTAGGATTGATACTCTGTGTGTGTGTGTGTGTGTCTGTGTGTGAGAGGGATTGTTCTCCTCCTCCTGCTTCCTGTTCACTCCCCCAGCGCCCCTGCGACTTTAGGGCGACTTTAGCATGGATCCACATGGATCCTCAGGATTTTTGCATTGGGCTACCCCAAACTCACCGTCAGATCACATGTCTGTGGCCACAGCATGAACCACAAAAATCATACATCCACTGTTTTGTTTAGAATATTTTTTTCTTGTTTTCCTCCTCTAAAAACTACGTGCGTGTTATGGTCTGGTGCGTGTTATAGAGCGAAAAATACGGTAGTTATTTACTAGATGCAAGTCAGCAGTACCAGACAACCCTGCTTGGCTAGGCGCTGGGGTGGATTTCACCCCGTGCCTTGCAGAGCCAAGCAGATGCTGCCGACAGGCCCTGCACCCCTCGGCAGCATCCAAAGGCGCTGATCTGCTAGGCACCGGGGTGGATTGAACCCCGTGCCTTGTAGAGTCACGCCCAGGCTGCCAACTAGCACAGCACTGGCGGCAGCTACAAGCAGTGGTCAAAAACTGGAGCTTCAGTGATTGCCCTCTTACACTGGAAACAAACCAGGACAGCTCCAAGAAAATGCATGTGGCAAAAAGAAGTGCTAGACTGCCCTCTAGTGGGTTGCACCCTTACCTGCTTGTGATTGGCCAAGCAGATAGCCAGCCAATCAGGATTTTTTTAATTTAAAAAATGACCCCCCCTTTCTTCTCACTTCCCTCTGTGGCCCCCCATTTACGTAATTTTCACCTGTGCCCCCCTTTGAATATCCTGGGGGCCCCCGGTTGGGAAACACTGCTCTAAGGAATGGGGCAGAAAGCAGTTATGCAGATGTTACCTTTTTGACTCTATTTATCCTGAGGTAGTTATTTTTAGCCTGCTTTTCAATCCCATTGGATTCCCTGCCACAAGTTAGTTCCCTGTGCCTAGACTTAAGACCTCTCCAATTCTCTCAGACCCAGCACTGACAATGCTTAGGACCTGGGTTCTCATGTGTACATGTTTGTAACCAGCAGGCACATCTACCACAGGAACTATAACTTAGATTTAGGGCATCAGTAACTTACCCCAAAGACTACTACAGTTATACCTCGGGTTGAAGTAACTTCAAGTTAAGTATTTTCAGGTTGCGCTCAGCGGCGACCCGGAAGTAATGGAGCACGTTATTTCCGGGTTTTGCCGCTCACGCATGCACAGACGCTAACAAACGACATCATGCGCATTCGTGGAAGCGGTGAAACGCGACCTGCGCATGCGCAGATGTGTGTTACATTTACTTCAGGATGCGAACGGGGCTCTGGAACGTATCCCGTTCGTATCCAGAGGTACCACTGTACTGTGCTAAAACTGCATAAAAGGCACTACAGCTGAAATATTAATTCAGATGATTGCTTCTTACCCTTGGGACTTGAAAAACTGTAGTAGCATAGGGTCTGTATTCAGCCTTTGGGCGACTGTCTTTGCAACCTAGAAAAATAAATGTTTAAAAAAATCAGAATAGAAAGAAGCCCAGTATTTGGTAAAGGTAAGACAGTGAATTTGAGATTGCACTGGGAACAGTCCACAATGCTTAGGTTTTCTCACTTTTGTCTGAAAGATACTTGCTGCTAATGAGCATTGGAGCCCTTTTAGTACATGACGGGGCTCATGGTTTGCTTTAATTTTAAGTAAGAACAAAGTTAGCGTACACATGCAGGAGAGAACAAAGTGGAAGAGGTAACTATAACATGTCAAGTTGGAGAAGGGTGGTGCACTGTCAGAATACCCCACCAGGTACACTGAGCTAAATGAAGCAATGGTCTGGCCTGGTTTAAGGCAAGTTTCATATGTCTCATTCCAGAAATATTTTATGTGACTACCACAATCTGGAATAAAGGGGCATTATTTTCAAAGACGTTCGCCATTTGATGGAAATGAAAGGGAGTATATTTAATACAGGAAACCCGCAACTTACGCACATTTCACTTATGCACATTCAGCTTTATGCACTCGGCAAAAAAAAAAAAGGGGGGGGGTGTATGGCAGAAAAGAGGCAGAAAGGAGACAGGCGTCCAGGAAAAAAGGCTTTGGCAATCCCACCCACTAGGGAACCCAATGTTTTTTGACTATACACTGTTTTAGCTTTAGGCAAGTTTCCCAAAGATAACCCCTGTGTAAGTTGAGGGCTTACTGTACCTGAAAATAATTCATTCTGTTGGATAATGTGACAACAAAACCGGGATCATTGGGGATGGTCTTGTCACAGAAGATGACATCAACTCGGTGGTAAAGGTCTCTGAAGTACTCTTTTGCTGTTGGTAGCTCACTGCTATCGTTCTCAGGGTCATCCCTGTTAACAGACAAGATCGCAGCTGGTTTAACTAAACAAAGGTTGTTTAAAAGCTCAGATGACGCAGGAAGTCTTTAAAACCTTGAAGCTTTTTGCGCGGCCTTCAGAAATAATCAAAAGCAGCTGCATAGATCTGTGCTGCATAAAGGGAGTTTCTAGACAAAGCACAGACAGGTCTAGATCAGTGGTTCCCAGACTTTTTGGGCCATTCCCCAGCCCTGCCTGGGGTTCCATAAACTCATCCCCAGTGTCCCTTACCCTATAAAAAGGCATTATTCAGAATAGTGGTTTGCACAACCCACTAAGGAAGATAATATAACACAATAAAATTCAAACCCGTAACAATGAATTGCACATTTATTAAAAATCCAGTTTGAAACTATTTAGTTTAATTAATTCAGCAAAATTTATGAACTTGATCCAGAGATGATATTGCATGAAAAGCATCTGTACACAGTCTTAATAATGAAAACATAAGTGTGAAGAAAATTAGCTTAAAATATTTATATATAACCTCTTACCAAATATGCACAAACCTCCACCTACTGTAACTAATTTATAGGAAAATCAATAGCTATTGCCAATAATTGGCCATCTTGTGACTTGTGACAACTCAGAATAATAAATGCAAACAAACAAACAAACAAACATGACCAAAGGAAATCATTTTGAAAGTGATTAAGAGCAGTTAAGTTTAAACATGAAGCAAGGAAGCTTTTTGCTCTAGGCTCTAGACTGGTCAATCATAAATAATCAATCCACACACTTGGAGGGGCCCAACTTCAACACCCCCTGGTGCCCCTCATGACTCTTAGTGCCCCCTCAGGTAATCCCACCGCCTGCCTGGGAAAAGACCTGCCCACTTTGGGAACCACTGATCTATATGAACATACATGAGCCTATTCCTCTAGGAAACAGAGGATTGGCACAGTGCTCCCTCCAAATCAACCATTTATGGTGAAAATTACATCATCTATGTGGCAAATGAAAACAGAGTCTTTGTAGGTTCCAAACCAGCATTGGGAACCTTATGTCAAGGATTGCATTCCACAAACCAGGGTTACTGAGGCCAGAAGCAGCAGTGGGTTGTACTGGAGCTGATGGTGAGCCACATATTTTCCTTTTTTTCTACCTGCTTCTCTCCCCACTTTATTCTCTTCCATCTTCCTTCCAGCTGCCCCCAAACCCGCCAAAGCCACGCTCCCCTGCCCTGAACACAACAATAATCAAATTTGCCTGGGAGATTTCTCCACTTTAGCTTAACTAGGACAGGTGGGTGCAGGGACAAGGAGGGGTTGGTAGTTCCTGACCACTGGTTCAAGCTATCAAGCAGACTTCTATACCGATTCTATTTTAAAAAAAGCACTGCAAAGCTTGTGGGGTGAATGATTGTAGTAAGCCTCAGTGATAACCTACTTTTGAAACACAATGATGTCACCATCCATGAGTTCATCAAGAGCTTTGTCAAGGGAAACATCATAGTCCTGAATTCTCTCCGTTAAATTCGGCTTAACTTCCTGAGGCAAAAAGGAAAGAGATATCACAAGACAGTTATCATCAAGGAGGAGCAAATATCCTTCCAATCCAAACTTTAAAATGTTGTGTTGTTTCCATTCATACATACACAGTGCACTGTGACAGCAGCCACAAAGAGAGGTGTCAATAGCACACACACCAAACACTCCAAAGACAAAGTGCAGACAATGACATCTCAGCTTCATAAGCCAAAACATGAAGCATCATTTTGATTACACACAGCCCTTTTACACAAGAGAAGAAGCAAACCAGGAAGGTTCATTAATTACAATGGGTCTACTCTGAGCAGTAGGCAGGATTCACCTAATGATGTTTATAATAGAGCAACACTGGATTCCACAAAGTATTTTTAAGCATGAAATTTATGATTCAAATGGTATATTTTAAGGGGGGGGTGTAATCATATTATTGACACCAGAGAACAATTTTGTAAAGTCTGAAACAGTGTAGTTTTTGTTAGATGTGAGCTTTTCATTTTAAAGAATAATTTTTCAGAAATTAATTTTTCAAGAAATTCCTTAGTTCAGGTTGCATTGTGTCTATCTTACAATCATGGAATTTTGAGACTCCTTTGTTGTAACGATATGCAGTACTTCAGCAAAAGTTCTAAACGAACAACCATATCATTGTGACCTAGCTTAAGGAATAGCAAGTGATCCAAACCTCATAGAGGATAAGATTAGATTCTTGGGGAAATCCTGCTCTTTCACACATAACCGGCAGCAAGTCACCTTTAGGGAAAAGAAAAGAAAGAGTATTTACCATTTACTACTCCAAATTTGGGAGGGGACAGACATCTCTTACAACATTCTGCTTTTTAAACATTCCATCTTCAAGTTTATAACACAACAAAGATAAAATGATGAAGCTACTCAACCAGCTGAGTTCAGGTAGGCTGTAGCACTAACATATGTAGTTCCACAGCATTTTTCAACTATAACCTTGCGGACTTACGTATTTTGCAGGATATAGGTGTGTAGATATGTCCACAATAATTCAAACTCCGTGTCTTTGGATCATACATCTTCAGGAACAGCATTACGTCATCTACAAATTGAGAAACAAAAGTTTGTAGCAGAAGAAAGCCTCCGTTTGAGGACAAGTTACTTTTGTGCAGGTTAAGGAACACTTTCTTTAAATCAAGAAGAGGGGAAATGGTATGGATACTTCGTTATCCAATGAAGTAGTTCCATTAGCACAGGGGTGGACAACCTCTAGCCCAAGGGCCAAATATGGTCCTTCAGGCCCCACCCCTCACCGGTTTTACTTTTCAGCCAAAACGGTTTGCCCAGTTGGAATGAGTCCTTAAACTCTGATAATACCATTTTTCTCTGAATGGACGATAGAGAGGGGTGTGTATCTGCAGAAATGAACCTACTGTACACAAAGGTAAAATTTACATTCACTCTTCCACCCAGGTGCACCAGGCCCATTGGCAGACCAATTCTGCGTTACAAAGACGTCTGCAAATATGACATGAAGGCTGGCAATATCTACCCTGCCGTGTGGGAATCCCTTGGAGATGACTGCGGACAGTGCCTGGAGACAGACAGACAGTTCGTGCATCCGTACCAGTGACCACAGGAGGAATGACCACTAGGAGGAGAGCAGAGAGAAGAAACGCCATGGTACTTCTGCAGCAGCACAACCGGACACCTTCACATGCCCCAGCTGCAACAAAACATGTCTCTCCCATATCAGTGTCTACAGCCACAGGAGGCGCTGTAACCTTCCAACAGTTTGACTTCACCCCCCAAAGGTGCACTCCTCCGTTGTCTCCAGAAACAGACACATGCCAACCATGGCCCTCAGAAGGTTGTCCAGAAGGGAATGTGGTCCTCAGACTGAAAAAAAAGGTTCCACATCCTTGCCTTAGTGCAACAGAACTCTTCTCTTTCCTTTCTCCATGCCCTACCAAATCTGTTCTGGAGGGTTGGGGAGAACCACAAAACAGATTTAGAAAGGGGCACAGGATGATGAGAGGGTTGGGAGGATGGACAGTTCTGTTGCACAGCCAGAAGTCCTTGAGATAATAGAACTACTTCATTGAACACTATCCTAAGTATTAAAGAGTTTTTATTATCAGGCTCTTATCTACCTAAAGGGATTTCTAAAAGGCAAATTTGCAGTCTGTGCTGTAATTTCAAAGTGACAGCTATTTATTCACTCTCAGAAAAACTTTGTGTCACCTGAAAACTTGTACACTCCACTTCCAAGCAAAATGGATACAAAAGTCATAAGCTTCTGTACATTCCAATGGCTGGGATCCAAATGGCTTGGATATACCTAGTGGAATTTTTGACTTCTTCGCCTTGAATGGAAGATTCCCAGAGCATAATGGACACTACATGCGAAACTCCCCTCAGGTTTAAAAGAAGCTTGCCATGTGGTACAGGGAACTGCTATTTTGCGGGGAGAGAGGGGAGTGATTTTATCGGTGATAACAAATACACAAAAAATAACTTGGATATATGGGAAGGTAGCCACAAGGATCTTAGGAATCAGGTCAACATCTTAAACGTATGCTTACGGTCTTTGTCAAACTTGGGTAATGTTGCTCCTGTAGCAGCCATTTCTGGATCTACAGTTTCTAGGAATATTGTCCATGGATTTTCATTGTCACTGAGCTCAATCATCTGTGAAGTTAAGGAAAGACACCAGATTGGGGTGGGGAGGGGAAGAGGTCACACTGTGAAGAAATGCTTTCTTCAGTATATATTTGTTATGGCTGCATCAGGTTGTTTGAAAGTGTGAAATACTGCTGTGGGTTACTTAGAGGAGGGGTGAGATAAAAAGATGACAAATAAGCACGCCTACATCAGCCCCACAGCTACTTAGAGAAAATAATAATCTATTTTGGACAAATAGGTTGCTGGAGTCATTGATCAAGGTGCCCTGAAATATAGAGATGTGACAGGACATAACAAGAGCCTGGCTGCTGGATCAGGCCAATGGCCCATCTAGTCTACCACCTTGGTCTCACAGTGGCCAAACAGCATGCAATCACACACCCCTTCTCATGTCACAACTCTCTTCCAACTAACATTCCCAGCAACTGGTACAGGGGAATCCCCACTTATGTAGAGGTTCTATACTGGGATGTGCATGAGTAGGGATTCTCCTGTTCCGCCCCTTTTTGGTGTTAAAGGTGGTGCGCCTGTCAGCGGGAGTGTGCGTGCTGATCACACACAAGTGGGGAGGCCCTGCCTGTGTTCACAGGCATATTGCCTCCCGCAGTGGAGATAGAACAAAGTCAATGTGGCGAGTAACTTTTAATCTGTGAAGTTATCTAACCCCCTTTTAAAGCTATAGAAGTTGTCGCCATTCACTACAATCCATCTAAAGGGGCAGTGATAAAGCTTTTTCCTAGTGAAATACAATGAGATCCATGTTTTGGCTCTGTTTAGATCCTGCTGCAGATCCACCTCTACCCTCACCCCCATATCAGAATGCACTGAGGCAAGGATAGGTGTTCCAACATTTCAAAACAAGCCCTGCCTTTCTGGCATCTGAACAGGAATCTTGCCAACCTCCAGATGAGACAATTCCTTACATCCCACTTCTACTGAAGTTCTGGAAACGCTGCCCTATTATCAAGAGGCTATAAAATGATTATTAGCTTTCTGGAGGACCTGAGTTACAAAAGAATTAAACATTCAACCAGGACTTCACTGACATGTATTAAGAAAAAGAATCTCTTATTTCGCTGGTGCATGTTTTACTGCTCAATGCATAAGTGCTACAACAAAATTTAGAATTAGTATTCCCTCTACCACGGCACACTCACAGTTTTATTGCCATCAGCTTCGTTGTCTAACATGGCTGGCCTTTTTGTCCCATTACTTCGGGCTTGCATTGGCCACAACCGTATTTGATCTTGTGGAAAGCCCTACAAAGGTGATGGTGGGGGGTGACATTTAGAAAGAGGTCAGTCATTACGGAATTACCAACAGTTCCATAAAAAGTAACACAACTGATTGGCTAAGATCTCTCACAGAAAGCTCACCATTGTTTGAGACAGGTTTTGAACGAATTCTGCTAGTGTTGAATTTTTCAGCACTTTGAACACAGTGTATTTCACTTTTTCTTCATCATACATGTCGTTGCCTTGATGGCCACAGAACTGGTCCTCTGTTACTATCTGAAATTACAAAACATGATTTGTTATTGAAATCGCCAAGGCATTGCAGTAGTTCACAACTGAAGCTCTTTTCCTCAAGGCCTTACCATGCCACAGGACTGAGGAACCTTTTGGCCCTCCAGATGTAGCTCAGCTACAAGTCCTATCATCCCTTACTGAGGCTGATGGGAGTTGCAGAGTTGAACATTTGGAGGGCCAAAGTTTCTCCACACCTGAATTATAGGGTCATGGCATGCTCCTGACCCATGTAAATCCCAGTGTGAGGATCCTAGCAGTGGCACAAAAGGACCAGGTTTCCCTGTGCCAACATTAATACCCAGTTTGGGTTCCAGCATCACAGCTGTGCTCATGTGTTTTCAATGACTTCTGCTTTCAAAGGCTCAAGCAAGGGGCTCCTACACTGCTCAGTAAGAATATCCTGCAGTCTTAACAATCCTATGGATGTATGCAGTGAAGGCCAGCCCACAAAGTGGTTATTTCTTGTAGCAAACATAAGGATTCCCTGCCAAGGCAGTTCTGTTGAAATTTTCAGACATCCTACAGTTGCAGCAGTGCAAGCTAGTGTACAAACATCTGCAGTGAAAACTGGGGTACTACTGTGGTTCGAAGCATGAACTGTGACCTAGAGGTCCCTGGCTGACATCTAAGCTCTTATAGGCAAGTCATTCTCTTACAGCCGTGGCTCCACATACGTAAGATGGAGTAATAATGTTAACTTATATTAATAAAAATTATCACAAGGAATTGAGAGGGAACCTATACACATTGTTTTGGGGACTTGGAAAAAGAGTGCCATGTACAATTAGCCATTATAAATGGAAGGACACAAAACAGGTGATATTCTTGGCCATGCCACAATTTAAACCCAACAACACTGGTCAGTTTGGAGCAGAAGGTGGCATTCATTGCTAGTCCTACTCAGAGCGTACCCACTGAAATGAATGGACAAGACTAACTTAGGTTCATTCATTTCAATGGTTCTACTCTTTGAGTATAACTTAGTTGGACACAGTTTCTTATTAATTATAAAGCACTTAATGCCAAAATAGGATTCTAAGTGGTTATCAGCACAAGACACCAGGTAGCTGAGTGCTGGACTTTGACTGGAGAGCTCCAAGTTTAAAACACCATGAAGCTGACCTTGGGCTGCTCTCGTTCAGACTAACCTAACTCACATCCATATAAAGTGGGATACAAATGTGAACATTACCAACAAATAATGCAAAATGAACTGGTATGTATTTCCAGGCAAAGGATCCTGGGATGGCAAAGCCTACCTGTACTTGCATGTAGAGGTGGGCTTCTTGCCTCTCCTTTCTCTTTTGAGCCTCTATTCTTTTTTCTTCTTGCAGCCGTTCTACTAGTTGCTGAGGAATATCATGATCAGTGACTGCTTGCAAAACCTCACCTAGTACATATGAAGTGTGACAATTATTGCGCCTTTTCAAATACTGTCATCCAAACAAAAGCATCAAGCACAATGAAAACCCTGATTTTTTGATATGTAATATTCATGCAAACACTATCCTTCCTGCACCCCAGCTCAACCAATCATCATTGGTTTGCATGCATACAGACTTGGGAGTTTAATTGTGAATGTCTGCTGAATGTTTTGAAAGATGATCCCTAGTGCTACCCAGAACTGAAGAAAATATACGTACTTAATTTTGACTCCCTGATATAAACCAACATATACGCATTGGTACAGTGCCGTACAGATAGGTCATCATCGTGGCCTCCATAGTTATGCTCAATTGCTTCTTCTTTTGTACATCTAGATACAACGTCATCATCAAATTTACACCACTGTAAAGGAAAACAAACAAACAACATTTAACAGAGTTAAGCATCATATGTATAATCTAACCTAAAATGTCTTTAAAAATTGCATATCTGTCTCCTTGGAAGAACATGATATTGTTTTGGATGCAATATTACAAACTGACAGTACAAAAAATGAACTATTCAAATAGTCATTCAAATTACAAAACTTTCATGAAACCTTAGTCAACCTTAAGTCTTAATTAAGAGAAATCAGCTTATATGTGATGTGGTCCAGTCAAGAGAGCTGGCCTTGCTTCTGTCGGGCAGTAAAGTCTCCTTCCTAGCTTAAGTTTCCTATTTTTAAAACGGTAAATGTTGCATACCTCACAGAACTGGTCAGATGGAAAACCAAAACAGTTAAAGTTTTCTTTAAATGAGAAATATAAGTTAGTGTGCCATCTTACATCAAAAGCCATCAATGTTTTCTCCAAAGAACTAAGCTGCAATTTCCCCCAAACCACCCCTAGAAGCATAGATTTAAGTTGAATTTAATGAAGCAGAAGAGAAATATAACTTGAGATTCTAAAAACACAAATTTAAGTAGCGTTTCTTTCACTGTGGTTCTTCAGCAGATACACAGAATGCTGGTGGGTGATATGAAGTCTAAAAAATGCTAGGCTGGGCTTCCTTTAGCTGACTTGCTGGTACATAAACATGCCTTCAAGATTAACTTCATATCGCAACAAGCATAACCCTGGTCCTCCTCTCAGCTTACTGCATTCAAATGCTACCAATGTGCAGTTAGTTATCTTAAAGAGGAAATGGGGGAACTTGTGGCTCCAGATGTTGTTGGACTCCAACTCCTATAAGCTTCAGTTATCAGGGATGATGGGAGTTGGAGTCCAGTCGTATCTGGAGAGAAGTAGGTTCCCCATTCCTGCCCTATAGCTCCAGATCAATCTTATTTCTATATTAGTCATGGGCCATATCAGAATACAAAACACAGTAAGCAGTATTTTCTGAAGAGCAGTAAGTGCGGAAGCAAAATGCTCAGGCATACACAGAGATTTTGCAGTTTCCCACTTTCTTTGACAGTGCACCCTCCCTGCCCAAATATAAGGGGCCCTCCAGAGTACCACGCTATGAGGCAGGAGGGCCCACCAGCAGAAGTAAAGGTGAGCCAACCATGCCATGTATTTGTGGAACTTGGCCTGTACATTTTCTCTGTAGTAGACTCTCCTTCTTAGAAGCCTATATTGTAACAAAACCTTAAGCTAAGGTTTCAAAGTTGCTCTATTAAAGGATTTTCAGCAGGCTTTTAAAAGGATACTACAATATCTTCATAGAGCTATACTTAAAAGGTTGGCTGTTTTTCCCATTACTTACTTTTCCATCCCCTTTAGGGTTCAAGTAAACGACATAATGTCCACCATGGTTATCTCCACTGTGAACTAGCACTGCATGAAGTATGTAGTTTGCAGCATCCTTAGGGTCTGTTTTTTGCAAAAATTCATCAAGAGGCAGCTGATCTGGAAATTCAAACCTGTTTTTCATTTTTGAAAAAAAAGTGTGTTACATGTGGCTATTTTTTATTTTTAAAAAGAACTATTTTTGTGAATGAATGCTGACAAACAACTCTTAGAACAAAAAAAGGTTGGAAAATTGTAAGTACATCGTCTCTGACATCAATTGCACTGACTGGGCTCATAGGTGCTACGTTTCACTGGCACAAAACTTTCTGCAATCAAAGGAAGAATCCTATGGGGTGTTGCCAAAGGTCAAGAAGTAGTTTTGTAGGCTCTGAGACTAGACTCTTGTTTCCAATAACTGCACACAAAGATGCAGTGGAGAACCAAGAGCAGATGAATTACTTTTTATTCAACATTGCAAAAATGCATAGACACAATGCTGTAGGGATGTTTCCCCACAGTGGCTCTAATTCCGTGCCCATTTGTGCTGATTTCTGCCCCATCCCAACCTTTGGCTGGTGCTGCATTAGCTTCTGCTAGCATTGCAACAGCTAAAGCAGCAGCCTGCAGAAGGCATGCAGAGTGAAGCTGAATATCTTTACCCCATTTGACAAAGGTGAGAAAGACAGGTGTAGGAAGATGCTTTATACCAAATCAAGCAACTCCATCAAGTTCACTATTACATACTGGGGGTGTCTAAGTTGTGGCCCTCCAGATGAGGTTGGATTCCAATTCCCAGTAGCTAGCATGACTTAATGACCAGGGATGATGTGAGCTAGGAGTCAAGCAACATTTGGAGGCTCACAGGTTCCCCAACCCTGGTATATAGTGACTTGCAGCAGCTCTTTAAGGTTTCAGACAAAGGAGCTTTCCAGCCCTACCTAGAAATGCCAAGGATTGAGCTTTGGGGCCTCAGCATGCAAAACATGTATGCTGCCATTCAGCTACCTCTCTTCATAAAACATGGGGGGGGCACAAGATGGCAAGACACACCTTGTGCCAGCACTGGGAGTCCTCAACTCATTCTAGACCTATCTATGTATGTGTAACTATGCACAGAATTGCAGCTGACATATTCCATCTGAAACCTGTAGTTTCATAACATCAGTGCAAATATCACTGTGCACTATATAACATCTGTGTGTTGCAATTATGCATCGTTCTTGATTTAAGTTCTCCTCAAAGTAGACCAGTTTACAGTCATGGGCCTCAGTTAGTCATGTCCACTAATTTCCATGTGTCTAAGCGTTGTACACAACAGGAATTTGGACAAAATGCTGGGCAAAAAGGATTTATCTCCATGCTTCCTGAAGATAAATCCTTTACACACAATGATTACAAACAGTGACTAACAAGATGGCAAAATTAAGTCAATGTTCTTGAATCACCATTACCTTGGGCTGTGTGTTGCTGCTGTTCTTTGGCTTTTCAGAATTAAATTTAAATGTGGCAACCTAGAATTCTGATAAGGGTTTAGCATTTCCAGGTATCTAATTTTGGGCTCTAATACAACACAATATTGATTACCTATCATTTATCTTGATGTTCTGGTCAGTCTGGGGATCATACATGAACCTCATGAGTTGTAGATGCAACACTGGTGGCAGCGTTAAGAACTTTACACCTTTTTCTGCCTCCTGCATGTTAAAGGAAGAAACATCTGCATTAACGGTGGAATTGACATCACCCTCTGAAACAATAATTTTACTTACAGAATTGAGGTTACCACCATGATACTTAGCATGCAGGACTACCCTGAAAACGTTTGTTATCACACAGACCTCCATGAGGAGTAGCATACCTGCAAACCATGTTCTCCTGCGTCATATTTATTATCCCCGTCCAGCTGTTCCACGGCAACATAATCAATGAAGGACTCAAATACTGAAAAAGAGAAGGGGTATGAAGAAAGGAGGTGTTACCAATCACACACAGAGGCTCCATGTGCAGGAAGAGAGAAATACCACATTCAAGCAGCCAGCACAGTCCCCAGACCCTAGTTGTGCGGTGACACTAGTGCAGGTTAAAGAAAATGAAGATCCAAGATGAACAGCCCTGCTCAACTCTGTATCTGCCACAATCAGCCAGTGGAAGCTAGACCTATTCAGGCATTAGTAACTGGAGGGAAATCTCAGCCAGGAGCCTTGGTTGCAGACTCATGCCCTGCTCAAGTGGGGAGACTATTAACATGGGCAGGAGAAAGACTGCATTAACTGAATTGGTACAACCTGGTTCAGATGTCAACATATCCCCAAGGAAAAGTGAGCGTAGGAAACACGTTTGTCAGGTTGAAAAGTTCTAGAGAATCAGATATTTAGAAGTTACCCAGATGCCACTGTCCAGTCCCATGCCTCACAGCAGAGACTAGGTGCACCAGCACAAAAGGTGCTTGTAGGACAATAGATTCAACCAAGCCAAAGCCCAGAGGGAAAGGGAATGCCCCTCAGGTTCTTTGAACTTGATGCTTTTGGGGGGTGGGTTAGGGTTGATTCCCAAGAAGACAACATATATCAGGCAATGAATATCTCAGGGAAAAAGGGCTTATCTAAACCACATGGATTTATAAACTATATACTTACTGCTTTTCTTTCCCTTTATACTTAGCTGAATGTCGTAATAATCCTCTATTCGTTCAGAACGATAGTCTACGTGTTTGCACTGGATATAAGACTGTGAACAAAAATAGGGTAAAGAGATATCAGTGCATACCAACAACAAAAGTAGCACACACAAACAGTGTCTCAAAGTTAGCTTTTAAACCAAATACATACCACCATTTTTCCCCTGAATAATTTAGGGATAGTGCCTTCTACACAGGTGCCTTTCATTTTATTTTCAACATTATCAAGCAACTGAAAGAAAGCAGAAAGTTTGCATTGGAAACACACATCTATTTAATTTATATACCCTTTAAAAGAAGCTGGGTGGGGCATGGGGGCTCCCATTGCTCTCCCATCCAGATCTGGCCCACCTCCCCTCAGTTCCAGCAACACTGCAACATTTATTTTATTTTGTTCCATTTCTGTTCCATCCATCCATCAGGTCATGGCTCCCAGGGCGGGTTACAACACGACCAAAAAACACCATGACATACAAAAATAATACAAATATAGCAATTAAAACATGAATTAAAATCCAACTGACTTGTTCGCAGAGCAGCGAGTTAATAACTCAGATATAGCTAATTGGGAGTAAAACAAAATCCTTAAAAATTCTGGGTACAACTTTAACTGGTGCTGAAAGGTCAACAGCACTGGCATTTGTGGCACTATGGAAGGTAGGGGTTCTGTAATTGAGGTGCCACATCTTGGAACTTTGTATTTCACCCAGTGATGGGCTGGGCCTCTGCTACAGTTCTTAAACACAGGCTGGTTGCAATAGGGAAAAGTGTTCCTTCGGGTACTTGGGATCCTAAGTCATTTACATCTTTATATACAAACACACTGAATTGTGCTCTGTAGCATACAGGCAACAAATCAAGGATGTCAGAATTGGTATTATGAGATACCTGCTGGCTATGCCAGTCAAAATTCTGGCAGCCATATTATGCTCTAACTGCAGCTTCCAAGCAGTCTTCAATGGTAGCCTTAGGTAAACCTCATCCAGAGCTGTTCTAGCCAGCAACAACTGTATCCCAATATAGGGTCTCTGCGCCACTGAAGCCAAAAGCAGATCTAGAGCCAAGAGTGCCCCCAAGCTATGAACCTGTCCCTTCAAAGGGAGAAGAATCCCACCCAAGACAGGCTATCCACTTAATTCCAAGACTGGAGGAACCACCAATCCACAGTGTTACCCAAGTGGGATTTCAACTTCAGTGTACTGGTCCTCATCCAGGCCATCACTGCCTCCAAACTACAGTGCTTTCAGATCACCCTCTCAACACTTCAAGCTACTTCTGCTTTCTTAACAGAAAATTATTTGTTTAGTTTTAATTCTAGCTAAAGGTCCTGAATGCCTCAGGGTGGCACTTTCTTAACACAGAAATATAAAGAGACCCTACTTAGAGGAGTTCTAAAAGTTAAGGTTTTCCCCGTCAGATATTCCTCCTCTATGTGCAGGAAACACAACTCTGCACATATAGGGCAGGACACTAATAATGTCTACACAAATTCCAGGGCTGAGATTTCAACAATTAAATTAAATTTGATCACTGGCTCTAACTAAACCTGGAGTATAAGTAAAAGATGATTTAGGGTGCAATCTAGCAAGAAGCAACTTTGCACAGTCTAATCCAACCAGGAGATATTCTGCAACTTCAGTTCATTTCAGTGGGGCTTGTGTGGAACAGCCTCCCTCTGGATTACCCTGTGAGTGACATGATATGCATAACTGCAACAAAACTGTATGCTAATCTTGAACAGAAAAAGGGGAAATACATACCACTCGACATAGTTCCTGAACGTCATGTTGCATGAAGCTGTCTAACGTCTCCCATCTTTATTAAATAGTGGAGAAAAAGGCACTTATAAAATGGCCACATTTGAAAACAATTGTGAAGTTAATAAAAATATACCTCGTGCTGTACACCAACAAAAAGCCCAGCTAAGAAAGACTGTGCAACCTTTGAAATCCCAGAATGAACCATTCTCTTCATGTGTGGACACGTAAGTGCATGAAGCATGAGCAGAAAACCTGTGACCTAGATCACGCCTACCATTTCTAATGGCCTGCCATTCCATATCTTGCTCATTACAGAACCGGGCTTGGTGCAGTTTCCTCTCTTCGCATCTCAGTGCTTGTGTGTGTGTGTGTGTGTGTGTGTGTGTAGTGCATCTGCATATATCTCAAGCAAGCCCAGTACTGCAGTGGGGAGATTGCCTAATAGCTAATGCAGCCCTTGGGCTTAAAGGCTTAGCACAACTGGCACAAACTTTTCTTTCAAAGAAAAATTGATCCTGATTTCCCTGTGAAAATCACCTGACTGTTGGTGGGAGAGCACTTCCAAACAGGATTGCGCCATAAGAGGTATGCATTGAAACCGGGGCTCCCCATTCTGCACCACCACCACCCATTTTAGCAAGGGGTTTCAATGCAAACTGTTTTGCACTAATGGGGCAATCCCCTTTGAAGGCACACTGGTGCTGACTGGTACTGGGAGCGCACCTTCAAAGGAGGTTGCTGTAACTGCCTAGTAATCTACTTCAAACTTCAAAAGGTGTTTATCGCCTGACATCAGTATGACATCAGGAGACTGACAGGTGGGTGGGTGTTCCCACCCAGTTGTCATAAACTTGACCTTGGGTGTGGAGGAGGCTCACGGATCTGGCATGCCAGCCAGATCCAGTTCCCCACTCCTGACTGGTCCACCCCAACAGGGAGCATCTCTCCATGGTGTCAGTCAGAGAGTCTTCTCAATTACAGTGGTTTTCCTAAACTCTAAGTTGGCTAGAGATCTTCTGTTACTGGGCAGCATATAAAGAATATGAACCACCTCTTGAGATACTTTTAACTGCAGATGCCAAAGGGCAGAACTTGAGGGCTTCAGTGTTCTACAACTGGGCTATGATCCCTCCCCATAGATTCCTGGCAAAATGGTGGGCAAAATGCACATGGAAGGGTTTGCTATACTAAAAGGATCCGTCGGGGCATGCAAACAATGGCAGGATCCCCTTCAGCAAGAGCCTGTCAGGAACGGACGGCTTCACCACAATTAACATACTCAGTCTTGGTTCATTTAACAGATGGTGAAAGCCACTTCTGAGAAGAAGTAGGCTGAGAATCTCTGGTTAAGAAACTGGCCAGCCATGAAGAGCCATCTGATATCTTGGCAGCACTTACCCAAAGGATTTTGTCAGCTTCTTAGTTCCTACTGGTTTGTCGCTATGCTGAAGCTCATAGAACACCCTCTGCAATGCTAAAGGAACACTTTTTGATGAGTCATCTCCTTCTGTGGGCATCATGTACACAGCCTAAAAAAGAAACCAATTTAATTAGGACTACAGAAAAGGGTCTCATAGCTCACATGGTTGTATTTATTAATCCATTTCATCGTGATCAAAAATCTGTCAGACAGGCCAACATCAGTAAAACATATTTGAATAATCTGCCTATGTACTCTGCTGAAACTAAAGGGAAGAGGAAGGCCCTGCAATATCCAGCAGTTTCATCATATTGCTTACAGTGGAACAGTTGCTCAAATCAGACTGACAGCTTAATTTTCAAGATGCCCAAACTATTGCTGCATCACAGCAAGCTAACTGCCATCCTACATTCTGTTTGGGCCTTGACATTTGATGCTTATTTAAATTAACCTTCCATTATGACATTGCACCAGATTATTTATTTGGAGGGAGGGGTGTCCCTAAAAAAGGCTGCCCTTAGTATTCTCTTCTCCCCCCCCCCAATCCTTTCCAAACATATCTGAAATTCGTTATGCCCAGAACTCCAGATGTTTCAGAGAGCAATTCTGATACAGAGGTGACCACTATACAGCACAACTCTCCCTCAGGGATGGCATGGACCCCAAGCTAGCCTGAGGAAGAACAATCTGCAGGAAGAATTAATCTTGGCACCAGATTAACTCTCTGAAAATTAGAGCTGAGTTCAGACCTCTCAAACAAGGAACCAGAATGCACAGCCTCATCATGTCTCCACAGGTGAACCCTCACCTGTAAAGTTCTGAGGAGAGGAGAGGAAGTTTAACTGAAGACCGTCAAGTGATGCTGGAGTGCAAGGCACCAAGCTGGGCAGCTAAGGGTAGGCTGGTCTTGGTCAACACTCGGCAGGATGGTTTTACTATTTTTGTGCCCATCTCAGTTCAGACCCTTATCAGAGCATTTTACAGTGAGTGTGGGAGCATGTAATGGGAACTGTCCTAGGTCCTGTCCTGCCTGACTCTAATCAATCTGCTACCAGACACACAACACAGTAAAGTTTCCTCTAAATCATGTTCAGCACCTTGCAGAACTGGAATTATGCACAACAGCACAATTTTTATCGCTGTATTGTCTCAATTCAATACACAGATCCAACATCTTGGGCATTTCCCTACACCAGGGAAATATTCCAGCTCCCAATGATGCAGTGGTTCAAGTACCCGAGGATCCAGCTACATATCGGACTGTATAAATCTAGGGAAACATTTGCCATAGATAATACTGCATCGCTTTTAGCTAGGGCTAAGAGAATGCATAATTAAAATTTCAAGACTAGGTATTTTCACATTGCAGAAAACAGATGCAATCTTCTAGTCATTGAGGGGACGTTCCCACCTGGCTCAGTACAAGGCAGCTTCCTATGTTCCTGAAGGGAAGGGCGGTGGCTCAGTAATGGTGCACCTGCTTTACACATAGAAGGTCGCAGGTTCAATCCTCGGCATCTCCAGGAAGAACTGGGGAAAACTGCCTGAAATCCTGGAGAGCTACTGCCAGCTAGTGTTGACCATGCTAAGTTAAATGATCTGAGCTGGTAAGAGGCAACTTCCTACGTGACTGACAGTATGCCCATTTAAAAGCATGCAAGAAAGGGGTCAGATGGGTTTTACTTATCTGTTAATCGCCAGAAAGAGGGAGGAAACATACACCAATTCGATTCTCAGATTACATTCAACTGGGAAGGACTGAGAACACCAGTGAATTTAGACAAAGGGCCCTAAAGGGATTAAAATGTGACATGGCAAAAGGCTGCATTGTGTGGGTGACTTAATCGAAGAGCAGGGGAATAGTTCCAGCTATTCACTGGTGACACAGGAGTGAGGGAGAAAACTAAAAACATAGAATGCACAAGAAAGGGAATTAGGAGAGCAGCTTGTGTAGAAAAGTCTGAAAAGGAGACTAATGCGATCCAAGGCTGTGCAGAAAATGTTGACATCACAAGGGCCATGTTATGCTGCTAAACTCCCTTGGAAGGATTGCATCCCGAAAGAATTAACTGCAATAAATAAATAGTACACTTAATGGCTACAGACTCTACTATGTATTTTGGAAATGTGTGTTTGATATGCATTTGGACCCCGCTTATTTTAACCAAAGTTCGCATGAAGGTTTCTGAGATCAAGGAGCAGGGTTGGCCGCTCAAGGTGGCAAAATTAACCTTTCAATACTATCCTGATTTTAACCACTGACTCAAAAACTGCACAGTCTCTTTGGTTTCTTAGAATAACAAACAACACTGGGTTAAAGGCTGCTAGTGACAAATGAGTAGACCACAAGAAAGGAAAGTAGAACTCTGGGGGATTAATACCAGATTAGGATGAGGAGAGACTAAGAACAGGAATAGCAAGGCATATTACAAGCACGTAAAAGAAAAAAAATAGAAATACACCCTTGAAGAATGAAGACAAGCAGCCAATAAAAGGGAAACAAATAGGAAACTTAGGGGCCAGGATCATTGGTATATCTAGCTAGGTGTTGTCTACACTTACTGGCAGTGGCTTTCATACTGGGAACATTCCCAATCCTACCTAGAGATGGTGAGGATTCAACCTGGGATCATCAAGCAAAACACTCTACCACTAAGCTGTGGTTCCATCTCAATACCTCAGTACAGAGCCTGCTGATATTTCAGCGGGCAAAGTAACATGCCAGGCTGATATCCCTAGGGAAAAAGGGGAAGGGGCAAACCCAGCCAACAAGACCACATCAATGGTAGGAAGTTGAGCAAGTTTTTTTAAAATGGCTGGTATCAATAGAGACAAAGGAGGCCATAGGAAGAGGAGGGAGATGAAGAGTAGTTCTGACCCACCTGCTACATAGCAAAATTAAACCACTGAAGTAGAGAGAAGCTGGGGAGTTAACAGGAGTTGAAAAACTTTAGGAGCTGGTTTAGGTGATAAAACAAATCTGCTTCTATAACTAGCAGATTATGAATGGAAATCCTAAACAATACAAGGTAGGTGACTGAATTTAACATGGTACAAAGAAAGGGTTTGGGGTTGGGGGAGAAAAACAACTGAAGTCATTGCATAAATGCAAAGTAACAAAATAATTTACTTGGCAGGGTTGTCAAAAAAGGAGGTTCTGAATCTGCAACTTCTCTAGGCAACTTGGACTGTATGTCATTCACAATTTTATATCGGTTCAGGGGGGAAAACACAAAATGCATATGGAACTGAGTTTGCAAAGTCTCAATTTTCTCTCTGGGTGGTAAGAGTAAAATTGCCTGGTGAGCTTCAGTATCCTCACACAGCTCTTTGTTAAAAACTTGCTTTTAAAAGAGTTGAGATCCTCAGTAAACTGGGCCAACATGACACCCTGCAGAACCTAAACCCCTAGCAGAGTTATTATATGGGGCTCAGATTTGGACGGGCACTCATCTTGTATCTATAGAAGCTGTCCAATCAAAGTTCTTAAGGTAAATTTTCTCTGTGCCACCCTGTGTCCCAAACGCATCATTGTGCCTAGAGGCTAATCTTCCCTCGGTAGAACTGCGGATCTGGCGTAGGACACTTAACTATTGGGTTCACGTAAACTCAAATCCCCCCAGTCTACTATCCCTAGGGCTTCAAGATTGTCACAAGAGTGCCTGGACTAAAATTGTCTATCAAAAACTTCACTCTTGTGCTTTATCACCACAACAGCTACTCACTTTGGGTGAGTAAAGCAAACAGTCTAATTTGTCAGCGCCTAAAAATGATACTGAGTGTCAGAACAACTTGACTACAATAAGAAAATTTTGCCCATGGTATGAATATTTCCCACCTTCCCATTTCGACTCTCTGGCACCCTATCTGCATAACCTAGCAATTCTAAAATATAGACGCGCTTTTACTCTTGCAAGATTGAATGTATTGTCCTCGACTGTACTTGAGGGACGATTCCAACAGATTCCACATGAAAAACACTTATGTGCCTGTGGAGATGGCAGTACTGAATCAGTGGTGCATGCCCTTCTGGCTTGCACTCTTTATAAAGACTTGAGGAATGAGAATATCACCCCTCTTTTATTGTCCATTCTGAGAAAGGCTACAGTGTCCTTTCTCTTGGCAGATCAAGATGAGCAGGTGACAGCAAAGGCTGCAATGTTTTTACCTGGGGCCATCAGAATAAGATCCATTATTTGACTATTGATTCAAAATCCTAAAATGTATTTTATATAATTTTATATAATTATTTCTATTATTTGTATACCGTATTGTTGTTCTATGGCTATGGCCGATGGTTGACGCAAATAAAGATTCATTCATTCACACCCTGCAGAACCCTAAACATGGGTACACAAAGTAGGGCCTGATACAAATTGAATGTGGCAAGGAGAAGCAAGAGTGAGAAAGCAAGAGTTCTTTTCTTTGACCAACCTAAAAGGAAATCATAATCAGGAATGTATTAATATCAGAGAAGTCTCCCTTAGGGAATGACCATAAAAGAACCAGAAAGACAGGAAGAGACAAAAGATACCACTCTTTGCAGTGACAGGTGGTGGTTGTTTGCATAAAAGCCTAAGAAAAGCACATTCATTGCTCAACTAAAACACTGTGACAAGGAAGTTGAATAGTTGGGTGGTGGGGAAGTTACTTTAAAAAAAAGTAAGCTTATTGCAAGACTATGAATTGAGCAATCAGGTCAAGCGAAAAGCCAAACACTATGCTCGCTGAACTCCTGAAGGATCATAGCAGACAGTGCTACTTCCAGAATGAACCATTCATCTCCTAGACACCATAGACAGTAGAAATTTGTTAGAATCAGTTGCATGCATAACCCCAGAGTGGGGGGCTGGCCCCATAGAACAAAATACTGGACTAGACAGGCCTTATTCTGATCCAGCAGGGCCCTTTTTTCTAGGCAGAAGGAAGAAAAAGAGAGATAGTGGGCACAGACAAGGAGCTGTATCCAGTACTAGTCCTACTCAGAGTAGACCCACTTAAATTAATGGGCATAACTAACTTAGCTGTATACAATATGGTGATTTCAATGGGGCATTTGATCCATTCTTGCATCAGGCCGCCACTGTACATTTAATGAGAACATGCCTTCATTTAATCTCTATAAGCCACAGTAAGCAGCAGCAAGTTTCCTTCTCTTCGTCAAGGACTGCTGGGGTTCTAGAAGAAAACCCTTCAAGTGTCTCTTCATTGCCAAAAGGATTGATGGTACCTCAGGCAGGTTTTGCACACAAGAAGCAGCTGTTCGCAACAGCAACGGAGATAGCTAGTGACTATTACCTTTTGGTAAAATCTCATGCACACGTAACCATTGGGTAGAATAATAATGTTCAGATGGCTAGGTATCAGCTAGGGTGGGGCATGTAGAAGAAATACTGAGCAGTCCAAAGGCACAAGTTACAAAGAAACAGAATGCAGGTGACCTACCAGATGGATTTACAATTAGAGAATGCTTGAAGTTGAGGCTGCCCCGAACTTCAAAACGGCAACTGGCATTTGCTAGCTCAGAGGTTTTCTCTGCCACAAGGATGAACTCTGTGGCAACTACCACTAACTAAGAGATCAAGCTACTCTATCTCTTCCTTCCACTGGCCTGCCATCTCTATCGTCTTCTCTACTGCCAAGGCTGCTTCCCAGCACCTGGAATAGCTCTGTGGTGCTGTTTCCTTGGTGTCGTTGTGGGTGCTGGTTCAGGCAGCAAGTTGTAGATGCAGGGCAGGATAAGCAGCTACTACAGAATAATTTACCAGCTGCATTCGTAACATGGATTATCGCCTACAGCATCCTGCACATCTCCAGTGCAATAATGTTAGGCTGCACAGCTATGGAGGGTCGCTCCTACTATCCCCATAGCAATTCAGCAGCATATAAACAAGGAAGTCACAAAAACTTTGGTTTACCTTTCGTAGCTGATTTGTGAAAAATAATGTCTGTAATAAGCTGTTCATATAGCAGGTTGCTCCCTGGTTCTTCAGTCCTACATATCCTGTATGCTTCTTGGAATCCCACCTATAAAAACCATGAATTGGGTTACAAGAACCACACACACACAAATTAATGTATTTCCAGTGTGTGAATACAATGGACAATTATTGTGGAACCAAGCTGTATCCACCAACACAACCTTGCTTGTCATTACGGCGATATATCCATCGTGGAATATTTAGAATTTTGTTCCATGTATTCAGAAATCTGTTTATAAATTTTATCCTTTTGAGTATGCTCTTCAAAGACCTTCTGAAGAAAGATTGCAGGGCAGACTGAATTCAAAACCACAAAATGAGCAAGTGCTGCTTAGAAGTTGACAGTAATGTGAAGTGATTTGTTGAACACTGAACACAAGACACTTACCAAATTCACAATGGATATCAAAGATTGTTAAGAAACTTGGTTACTGACCCACAATCCAACCACTTGTTCCAGTCAAAGGATCATAAGGTACTTACGCCACGCCATGTGGAGCATCAGCTTGAACGTACACTTCAAAAGTTACTTTGTCATCTTCTATATAGCCTTTATCTGGATCAGTAACTTCCTACAAAAAGTAAAATTGACAACAAGAACATTAAAAATCAAATCACATATAAGGCCAAACTAACATCACTTTGATGACTGGCAATCTTGAAAGCTCTTTTCTTAAAACCTGAAGTCTATAAATGCACACTAACTTTCAACAGTGAGTCTGAATGTTACAGGAATATCTCCTGCTATTCAGAGAGGAAGATCACTGCTCGTCACTATTTATGTGAGCAGGACCACCAGTTGAGAGCTTAACATGGGACTTCTTTCTCATAATGTCAATTACAGTGTTGTATTCTTTATCCCACCCTTCCTCAAACGATCTCAAGGAGGTATTCACAGTTCTCTCCAACCTAGGAACCTGTTTTATTCTCACAACCCAGTGAGGTAGGTTAGGCTAAGAGGAAGAAATAAAGGAAGGAGGAAGGAGACTTGCTCAGAATCATTTGGTGAGCCTCATGGCTAAGCGAGGATTTGAACATGGATTTTCTAGTACAAAACTTATTCATAACCATCACACTGGCTCTTGCGCTGCCTCATGCTGTTACTTACACTCCATGACATAAAGTTGGAAAAGCCCCAGTCATTTTCCTTATGAAAGAACAAGTGGCTGATACGGCGACTGAATGATTTCTCATCATCTTTGTAATTTATTATCTTGAGCACTGCTTGTGCATGACAAGACCATGACCTGCAACAATTAAAGAGATAACAGTTGACATGCTGAGCTGCAGAAAAAAGATGCTAATAAACTGTGGTTTACTGAACAAGCCTACCTTACTTCTTGCCACCTCTGGATAAAAAAAAACTTTGCTTCGATGCTCTCAGAGCCATTACAAACTATTAATATCATGGAAAGAGTTTGAGTAGAGGCTCAGTTTCTCACAGAGCTGTTTTTAAGTGTTCACTCATCATGGAACTTTTCCAGCTCGGTGCATTTTCTTCTATAGCTATCTAAGAATGCTACAACTCCTCTAAAGCAGGTAGGAATACTTTAAAAAGACTTCTGCTACTACAGGTTAAGAAACAGCAAGTGGAGATGCCACTGTTCTCTGAATGTTTATTTGCTTGCATTCTCAACCTGAGGGTTAGGAGACTCCTTCAAAAGGTTATACATAAACTCCACTGTGCCTCCCACTCAGCCAAGATTGTGGCTTCTAGTTCTTAGTGATGTGCTCCAATCCCATGTATACAAAATTCTGCTGTAGCCACCTTACTTTTATTTCCTGTTCTGTTAAGGCTGTAAGCTTTGATTTTTAACAACGTAAACTGAGTCAGCCAACATCAGCTTTAGATGTTAAAACCAACTTTTAAAAAACATACAATTCTCAACCTGTGCTCACTTTTTCAAATGGACCCCTGCCTAGCAGCTTTGGTAATATTCAAGTTTATTAATTAAAATTAGCTGATTTACCCATTTGTCAACTGACAGGCTCTAGTCTTTTCCTACGGGAGACCTTTCTCCATTTAGCGCTTTTTTTGTTTACCAAAAAACAAAACAAAATAGCAGCAACTGAGCATTCCAACATGCTCAGATCATTTTGTGCTCATGCATGAGGGAATTCAAACAGGCAGCACCTCACCAGAAGGAAGCAGCAGTAAGTATGCAACAGTGCAGCCAATTTATGCTTCAATAAATCAGCTCTGTATATAGATTCGCTGAGCACTTGCTGCCTTCTTCTTGTTGGGAAAGGTCAAATAGTCTGCCTGCTCATCTGGTTCATGTATTTGGTAATTAACCTATTAACTATTCAAAACTATTAAATACCAGCCTGAATAGCTTATTAATTTGGTCAATATATATCTGAGAACTAACATACATTGCATTCATCCCAAATTAAGTTATGTCAATCTCAACATACTATACCCAATATACAGCAGATAACAAGGAAGACTACTTCAGACTGATCAGGCCTCTCTAATGCGACTTTCTGCCTCTTTCCTCCACATCTAAGCATGTACCCCTAAACACCCTTCCTGAATGCCGAAGCCCCACTCCTCATGCTGTCCTACCAATCGACGCAGAAGTTATAGTCAGAAAATGCAAGAGGTTAAGATGGTGCTATACAGAAATGTATAGTGTATAAAATATCTTACGTGGAATCAGACTCAGCATTGCACTGAAGAAAGAATCCTACACTTTTTTGGTGCGGCCTGTCTGGGTAGAGTCGTGGCATCACCATAATCTTCCATGGCAGGTTCCGTACAAAGCAGGGGGGACTTAGGACTGATTCATTCAGCCTGTTGAAACGTTCAACAGTGAACTGGAAAGTTGCTTCCGACCGCCAGCTTGTGTCTGTAAAATACCAAAGTTCAATTAAATGCAAATTACCGTATTTTTCGCACGATTGGACGCACCGGACCATAGGACGCACCTAGTTTTTTTGGGGGGAAATAAAGGAAAAAAATTTCCCCTTTATTTCCCCCCCAAAAGCAGGTCAGGGAAACCGAACCATGTCGAGGAACAGCGGGATAGTGGCGCTGCGCCTCCCTGCTGTCCCCCAAGCTTGTGGGGCTGGCCGATGTCTGTCCGGCGGGCGGGGAGCTCTGCTTCAGGGCGCCCCACCCGCCAGGCAGCAGGCTGCTATCCGCAGCGTGGGGAGCCCTGTGGGGAACTCCTGCAAGGCTCCCCACTCTGCGGATGTATGCCTGGCGCGAGGGGCGCTCTGCTTCAGGGCGCCCCACCCGCCAGGCAGCAGGCTGCTATCCGCAGCGTGGGGAGCCTTGTGGGGAACTCCTGCAAGGCTCCCCACTCTGCGGATGTATGCCTGGCGCGAGGGGCGCTCTGCTTCAGGGCGCTCCACCCGCCAGGCAGCAGGCTGCTATCCGCAGCGTGGGGAGCCCTGTGGGGAATTCCTGTAAGGCTCCCCACGCTGCGGATGTGTTCCCGAAGCGCCTGGAGCTCTGCTTTCAGGGCGCCCGGCGCTCCGGGAAGCAGGCTGCTATCCGCAGCCTAGACACGGCTAGCGGAGCGCTAATCCCGAAGCCCCAAGCTTCGGGATTAGCGCGGCGCTTCGCTAGCCCTGGGAGAGCCACGCAACGTCGTGGGGCTCTCCCAGGGCTAGCGAGACCTTGCCGGCACCCAGAAGCTTGGGGCGCACTGAGCTCCGCGCGCCCCAAGCTTCGGGATTAGCGCGGCGCTTCGCTAGCCCTGGGAGAGCCACGCAACGTCGCGGGGCTCTCCCAGGGCTAGCGAGACCTTGCCGGCACCCAGAAGCTTGGGGCGCGCTGAGCTCCGCGCGCCCCAAGCTTCGGGATTAATGCAGCGCTCCGCTAGCCGTGGCTAGCGGATAGCTTCCTGAAGCCTGGAGAGCGAGAGGGGTCGGTGCGCACCGACCCCTCTCACTCTCCAGGCTTCAGCGAAAGCCTGCATTCGCTCCATAGGACGCACACACATTTTTCCTTGCTTTTTAGGAGGGAAAAAGTGCGTCCTATGGTGCGAAAAATACGGTAAGCAGCCTGATCTTTCAGTCCCCATGCAAGGCCAATGGTGCTCGGCCTCCACTCACCGTGTGGCATTTCATCTGAGGAGCAAAACACCCCATATACATTGAAGTCAGATGTAGAAACAGTAAGAACACTGCAGAGCAAGGATAAAGTCTTTAATAGACTGTATATTTTATTTCTGATTTTTAGTTACCAGGGGAATTTATTGTGCAGAGATTTGGAGAGCACTGTACCAGTATGCAGTTGACGCCTAACTTTCTTTGTCCCCTTTCCAACATCATATTCTAAGGAAGCAGTAGAAAAAGTACACAGTACCACCAGCTGCCTTTGAAAGCTGAAATTTTTAGTTGCAGCAATTTGTACCAACTGCAGATTTGACCAGGGCCAGATACGTGAATCATGCACCTCTGTTATCATGCCAATCTCAGTGGCTTACAGGCTGGTTCCAAGTTCAAATGCTAGAAGTTCATCTCCTCCCTGTGTGAGTTGTCTGCCCACTAAGATTATCATTAATTCCCCACCACCATCAGTTGCTGTGGATACAAAAGAGGGACTTCTTTGTAGTGTGGGACCCAGACTCTGGAACTTCCTGCCATGGGAAATGTGCCTCCCCCTGCTATGGAATGCTTTATATTAACAAGTCTACATATCTAGTTTTTGGTTGGACTGTGCATATACCGTCCCCTGCAAAACAACAACAAACAAACAAACAAACAAATACTTCACTGCTTATAACGATTGAGCTGTAAGCCAAATTTGGCTTGAAATAGCTCAACAAAATATATACAACCCATACAAAGAAGTATACAACCTCAACAAAACAAAACAAACATCATCAGTGCAATTATGCAACAAAGCATAAGGGGTCATAAAATACAGGATGCATAAGGTTTTAAACTGTGACATAATCAGATATGGGGAAACCTCTGGTACAAAATATTTTTTAAAAAACAGCATAAAGAGGAACCTGCATAACTACTGTTACTAGATAATCAGTACCTAATAGTTGCTGACAGCACCTGCAAGGAGAATATTGTGTATGTTCAGTGATGAAAAACTGTGAAACATTTATTCTTCTCACACAAAGAAGCTGCTAAAAAGTCAGGGGGGGGGACCTTCATTTTCAGATTCAAAACATCAAAATGTAAAGTCACAGAGCCCCTGATAATAAAATAAACACAGCTCTATCTTTTTAATGTAAACATTGATCCATTCTTGACAGAGTTCAGTTTGGAGGTGAACTGAATGGCATTTCATATTAAAAGAAGTTTCAAGTTATTTGAAAAAAATGCAATAAGCAGCCACAAAATGAAATCAATGTGCATTTTTGCATTTTCAAGAGCCAACTCAGCATTCCATTATGGTCTTTTGCCACAGAAAAACAAAGCAGTCAAATAGAAGTATTTCAAATGACAAGCTTTTGTTACATAGCTTTTCAATCTCGCTCTTCCTCCCTGCCTCTGGGGTCTCCATCTTTCTCTTTCACACACACACACACACACACACACACACTCCCAAATGAATTTCAATTAGTAAAGGCACAGTTACTCCCCCAGGCCAGATTTTTACTTGTGAAACCAAAGCTGTTATGCGACCATGAACGTCTTCTGAAAGCCTCCCTCTTAAAATGCCAAAGTATCCCAATTTTTTAAATTTATTTCAGAATCTATAAACTGCTCTACATTCAAAAATACCTGAGCAGTGCAAAAAAGTTTATAACATGTAATACAAATGATAAACCAAAGTTTTTGTAAAAAAAACTTGGAAGTCAACATGAATCAAAAGCTGAAGTTTTAAAATGAACTGATCTGGAAGGCTTGGGAAAAAACAAATGTTTTCATCTAATGTCAAAAACATAATGTTGGTTGGGGGTTCCTTCATTGCTAAGGAAAAGAACTTCAGAGAACAGGTGCCACAACACTGAAAGCATGCATTTGAGCCATAAGGCTTGACATGGAGGTGTGTGGCACCATCAATCAACCTTCATTCATAGATCAAAGTGACCAGGGTGAAATGGGAGAGGTGACTTTTCGTAATACCCTGGTCCAGAACCATATAAAAACATAAGAAGAGCCTGTTAGATCAGGCCAATGGCCCAGAATCTAATCCAGCATTCTGTTCTCACAGTGGCCAACACTGGAGTAGTTGTAGCTGGTATACCAGCCAACACTAGCAAAGTGCCCTCCACAGTGGTGGATCAAGGAGTACTCTCAAGCCTCACATAAGTTATTTCAGAGGGAGCAATGGCCCATTCACATCTGGCATTTGTGATGGCTGTCCTCAGTAGGGTGGCTTAACCTCTGATTAAGCAGCAAAAGCCATTTAAAAAGTTATCAAATTATAACAACCAGAAGAAGTTTTTAAAGGCCAAACAGTTGAAGTCCATACATCCCAGTCCCACTAGCTCTAGAGTCTAGACCAGTGTTTCCCAACCTTTTTTGGGCAAAGGCACACTTGTGTCATGAAAAAAATCTCGAGGCACACCACCATGCCAGATGGGGAAAGGTCACTTTTTACTTATGTAAAAAAAAAATAAAAAAATAGTAACAGCATAGAAGGTAATGGTAGATGACTGTTAGGGTCTCCCCCCAAATGCAGAATTCTATTAATATCTTCCTTAGCGAGCCGCGTTAACCCCTGTAATGCTTTCTATAGAGTAAGCATAGGGGACACTGGGGGATGTGGAACCAAGGGGGCAGTGGGCCAAAAGAGTTCGCGATCTACTGCTTTAAACAGAAATAAGAGCCAGTGGGTTCTTCCTTTTTTAAAGTATCGTTTCAGCGGGGACAGCAGTCCGGATTTCCAAAAAGCGGCGCTTTTTTGCGTCTGAGCAAAGAAGAGAGAGAGGGGAAAAAAGAGAGAGAGATTGATTTGTGGCTGCGCAAAGGGGGGAGGAGCCCAGGAGTAAAAGTAGGAAGGACGAAGGGAGGGGAAAGGAAAGTTAATAGAAGGAAAGGCGGGTGGGAGAGAAAGAGAAAGAAAGAGGGAAGGAAGGGGGAAGAGAAGTGGAAAGGAGGGAGACCGAGGCGGGGGAGAAGCGTCTGGAGAGTTGCTCCGAAGTTTGGGGGGCCGCGGGGGTGGGCGCGCGTGCCAGGAGGCGGAGGCCAGCCCGGGCTGGGAGCCGCGCCGCGGCCCGGGGGCGGTAGGCGGACCACGGCTCCTAGGATGTGGAAAGGGGACGGCGGCGCAGGGGGAGGAGACCCGCACGGCTAGGGCAGCGCACAGGGGGAGGGGAGCGGGCCGGAGGCAGGCGAGGGGGGCCGCGATCCCGCGCGCCGCGAACATGGCCTCCTTCCCCGCGGGCCCCGCCGAGCCCCCCGGCCGGGGAGGGCGGCGCGCCCCCGCCGCCGGAGGAGAGCAGAGGCAGGAGGAGGAGGACGAAGGCGCTGCCGAGGAGGCGCGCCAACTTCTGCCAACTTCGGCGCCCGCCCCGTCGCCGCAGGCTCCTCCCGGCCGAGAGCCAGAGGACGGCGGCGGAGCAGGAGGAGGAGGATCGGGTTTGGCGACGGCTGCTGCGTCCTCTCCAAGCGCGGGGCTGGCCTCCGCCACGCCCGATCCTCCGCGCTCGCCCGCTTCTCGGCGGAGCAGGTCTCGTGCGGGTGCGAGGCGCTGCTGCAGGCGGGCGACCCCGGCCGGCTGGGCCGCTTCCTGGGCTCGCTGCCGCCCGACGCCGAGACGCCGTGCGACTCGCCCGCCTCCCTCCCACGGCACACCAGGCAACGTCTCGCGGCACAGTAGTGTGCCGCGGAACACCGGTTGGGAAACACTGGTCTAGACCAACCTATTTATGTGCTTCACAAGGAATGAACTGAAATGAACTGTCTGAAAGCTCCCATGCAGCTAATCATTCCAAGTGACCCAAGTAAATTAAGCCAAGTCACAAGTGATGGGGAAGGGCACATACCTCACCCAGGATTGTTAGTGATCATTTTAACTCTATATGATTCGCTTTCATTCTCTATGCATAGCAGTGAGAGTGACCACAAGGAAGGGCACAGCCCATCCACTTAATATGTTATTGACCCCATAATAATAATCCTCCTATTCTGTTGACTGTAATTTGTTTTAAACTATTTTAAAATTGCATTTTAAAATTGCTGTAACCCACCCTTGGACCTTGTGGTGAAGGGAAGATAAGAAATCAAGTTATACTGAATAATAATGATTATGATTATGATGCTATCTGGTCCACGTTAGGAAACTGTACACCACAAGCAATGAGCCCGGGCTTTATATTCAAACTTCCTGAAGTTGTATTTATCATTAAAAAAAGCACCAAATTTCTCCATAGAGCCTTCAAGACAACTTTAAAGGACAGTAAAGCAAGAATTTAAATTGGTTATAAGGTTTTTTTAAAGCGGATTTTTGTACTTAATTTTATGTAAATTCATTTAAATATGAATACATTGTTCTATCTGGAATTTTAAAAAGTAAGAACAATTAAACATCAGTTTAGCAAGTTTTTTGTGGGGAGGGGGGGTAGGCTGTATGCTGGAGTTCCTTCCAATTCCTAGATCCAAGAGGAATTCAACTGCTGGAATAGCTAGACAAGTTTCTTGCTAATGGTCCCCTAAGTAGGGGTTATTAAGGCAAAAGGAAGTGGCCCTGTGCCAGAGGGCAAATAGGTGGGCCCCCTTCCTCAACTGTCTGGTAGAAAGACAAAAGTCGGGGGGGGGGGAGAGGGAGAGAGAGAGAGCAGGCAGGCAGGCAGGCAGGCAGGCAGGCAATAACTTATTGGGGTGTTAATGCTGTGAGTCCCTCCATCATAGGCTCATGTATATATCATGTGTAAATAAATTATATATCCTAAAGCTACCACAGTCTCTGCTGTCCCTCATTACAAATAAAACAAACCATAGGAACTCCTGGAACCTTGCACCTCTTGTAGACTGGGGTGGCATGAAACAATATAATCAAGACCACTTCAATCAAAAGGGTCAAACAGACCACCTTCTGAATTAAAACCACCAATGCAAGCTTGATCCTTCTATCAGATAGGCAGGTGCAAACCACTACAGTGCAATGCTCCCTGCTATCATCTCAGCCAGGCAGCCTAGAAGGGTCCCATTAAAAGCCTTGCAGAGGTCTGATACTTTGAAGAAGCAACATCTCACATAAAACTAGAACCTAGAGACATTCAATGAAGCTGAATGGTGGGATGGCCAGGAATGACCAAAATTTAAATACTTCTTCACACTGCATGTAGTTCAAAGTGGACTAAAAATGTGTCTGAATCCCCACAAGATGGAAACCCTATGGATGGGTGATTCCCAGATCTGGGAACTGAGTTTTGAACCAGCTCTGGATGGGGTTGCACTCCATCTGAAGATGGTGGACAGTTTGTGGGTACTCCTAGATCCACTGCTGTCACAAGAAGCCTTAGTGACCTTTACCGACCTCAGTTGGTGTGCCAGACAAGGATAGCCTTGCCATGGTGGCCCATACATTGGTAACTTCACTGGGGACTCGAGAGAAAGATCAGAGAGCTCCTTTGCCTTGTCCTCTGGCAGCCCACTTAGTTTCTACACTAACCTGCTCACTCACCTGCATATAATTCTGTGTGCTCACCTGCATGCAATTCTTTGTCACCTACGACTACCAGACAAAGGCTTTAATACAAGACTGATGTAGCCACTTATTAACCACTTCAGAGTCTTGCTAAATGAAATATTAAATTGAATACAAAATATATATAATAAATGCAGACTACAAAGAGCATATATGGCAGGCCCAGCCCACAAGGAATGCTTCCGAAAACAGGAAGCTTTGTTATTATACGTTTATTTGAATGGTGCAAAAGACAGCCTGACCACCATACTGACTTATTCCCAAGGTACTGGGTTACAGTTAAAACATAGGTGCAGTCACAAAGTGATCTAGGAAGGCATCTGGAGATTCCCGCAGATGCTTAAAGTATTGACAGAGCTATGGCTTCCTGCACTGTATTGCTCACATGATTAAGACCCACGAAACAGACAATAAGCCACGGCTAGTTATCCCACTCACCTCCCCGCCCAATGAGCCATATTTTACTGGAAGGCAAAGCCCTTTTGCCTATCTTAGGCAAAAAGAGCAATACTTTTAACAACTTGCGAATGAACAGGCCATAAAGTGAGTTGGATCACAGCAAATGTCCATTTAGTCCAGCACCCCAGTTCCCACACTGACCAATCTGAGTCTTCAGGAAGGCCACACACAGAAACACACCCCTGCCAGAAATTGGTATTCAAAAGCATGCTTCCTCTAAACACAGAGGTCACATGTAGCCATCATCAGGCAAAACCACAAACAGCCTTTTTCTCCTCCATGAATCTTCCGTAATTTAAAGCCCTCTTACTCACTAGCCATCAGCAGCACATCCTGTGGCAATGAGTTCCATAAAAATTAATGAACAGTGTGCAGAAAATCTTTTATTTGTCCTGTTTCATTAGATGACCATGAGGATGCAAAAGCCTTTCAGGTCCATCAAATGGATATACTACTCACTGCAAAAAACAAGCAAGCTGCCCACCCGCATCAAAGCAAGTAGAAGGGATGACTCACCATCTTCCATGTCTTCTTCTGTGTTGTTGTGACCATCAGCCATTGCTACATTCCCATTGATGACTGGGTTTTGAGTAATTCTTGGTGGATCATCAGCATCTCCAGCTTATTGGGATAAGGAAAACAGAAATAGATCAGTAACCTGGATCTTGGCAGTAGTACTGACAAATTACAGTGGTACCTTGGGTTACATACACTTCAGGTTACAGACTCCACTAACCCAGAAATATTACCTTGGGTTAAGAACTTTGCTTCAGGATGAGAACAGAAATCATGCTCTGGCAGCACGGCGGCAGCTGGAGACCCCATTAGCTAAAGTGGTGCTTCAGGTTAAGAACGGACCTCCGGAACGAATTAAGTTCTTAACCCGAGGTACCACTGTATGCAGATCTAAAACATAGCAAAATTATGCAATATAGTAAAAAGCTAATATTTCTTCTAAAATAAATTAAGATCTTACTTTGGGTTCTTCACATTTGGTTGTATCAAATGTGAACCATATTCTGAGTAGCCCCACTGAAACAAATGAACGTAACTAATTTAAGTCCCTTAAACTCAATGGGTCTACTTTAAATAAAGCTTATTTAGATACAACCTTCTGTGCCCACTACACTGTCAGAACTAGCCTTTAGCAGGCTTCTGACTCCATTACTTTGTTTATACAATGCTACTAAAAGTTATCTAACTTTATGCAAAAATGTTTCCATATTTTGTGAAGAATCACTGTTAAAGTCAAGTTCCATTTTTATTATTTCCTTCCTTCCTCGCAGCAATGCAATCCAGCAACAAATGCAAAACAAGTCTCAAAAGCTGCATTTCTCCAGTTCACATTACACATTTAGCCTTCATAGCCTATTCAGCACCCAGGACAGAGCTATACAAAGTTAACACTGGTCTATGGTACAATGATGGTGCCTTCAGTGCTAACACAAGAGAAAGCCTGTTCAAGTAAAGATTTTCAAGATTAAAGGAAGGCTGACTTCAGCACTCTCACGAAGTCTTAGAGACAACATACACACAGTGCTAAGGACACATTTAAAAACCTTTAAGGCTGTATTAATTATGGACTGTGACAATTTCCTTTTCATGAACTGTTTGTTGTAACTTGTATGTCTGAATGAGAGAGAGAAGTGTTGTTGTTTTTAAACAAGATGCATTGGTGCTTGCCTCCCCCTTTAAGTATGCTTAGAATAGGTGGCAGCCAAGGAGGCCTCTGATCTACATCCAGAACACATCAAGAGTGGTTTGTCCTTGGGATGGCTATTTTTAGTGATAAAATGGTACAGGATGAAAGGGTAAAAGTTCTACTGCACTCATGCTACAGTCCCAATCCAGCTGTTTTTCTGAAGAGACAGCAGCTTCTGTGAACAGCTTTTAAAAATGCATGCTTAACATGAATGGTGGTCTGGCACTTAAGTCTTCACCAACCACATAGACCTGCACTTAAGTCTTCACAATCCACCTGCTGCATCTTCCTGCTCTGGAAAGGCTTCCAGGTTAGTCTGCAATGCTAAAAGCTTACTTCCTAAGAGTGTGCACTTCAAATCAGTTTTTCTCTGGTAGCACAACTCAAAGATCTATACTCTTAAGAAGTATTTCCTCATAGAATGGGTGTTGCTGAATTCTGCCTGTGAGAGGACATTTATTGTTGCTGTCACAATTAGACAGATTACTTTCCTCTCTTCTTCCACCCAGGTTTAATACCCTGCAATGACTTAGCATGCACCTTCATTTTAAGAGGATGTGCTCCCCGTAAAACAACACCTAGAAACTCAACGTTTGGTTAGATAACTAGGGGTATTCACCTGATTTGTGCACCCTGCAAATGGAACCAGTTTAAAATACATAGACTAAGCATGTTTTCTGTGCTTCAATGCATAAAAAGCTTGGCTTCTGGGTCACAACGTGAGCCTTCAGCAGCTTCAGCATCCAAACCTATACAAAATGCCAATAATGTCTACAGCTCCACCTTCCTCACAGCATAGCCGTGAGAATAAAAAGGAATTTGAAAACTCTTTGAAAGCAACGATTTAATAAAGATCCACCACAAATCCCTGAAACATCAGGAGAGCACAGAAGCCTAAATACAAGACTTGGGAAAGAAGTGGGGGGTAGTTAAGCTCACATATCCCAGAGGCACTTTCCCATTTAAAACATCTCCTGCCCCTGACCCAAACCAAATATTGTTCTAACACAGAACTCTGAATAAGCCATTTTATGATATGCAAGACCAAAACACTTTGCAGAGATGGGAATCAAATGGAGTGGAAGGCCAAACTGGTATTTACCATCCAAGTGTGATGCAACAAAATTATGGTAGTGAACATGTGTGCACTATTGCATTCAGTGGCATGCCAGAATAATTGTCCCTTTCAATAGACTGATGCATGCCCCTCAAAACACCAGTGGGAGTTGGGGGTGAGTTGTTGAAGTCCAATGATTTGCTTTAAGAGATTTCAATAATGTAGATCTGTTACATGCATTCTCTGACCACACAGACACTGCCTACTTTCTTCATGCAGATTCAAGTTGTTGCAGAGCAAAGCAAAAAAGATGAGTTTTTTAAGCTCAAATCTATACTAATGTAATAAAACCAACACTGAAACCAAATGTCTATGGCTGTGGAAGTTCCACACCATATATTTAAAGGATGTCCAATGCACATTTAAAGCACATGACTTCCACACCCTTCCCAAGGATCATGGAAACTGTAATTTGTTAAGCATGCTGGGAATTTGTAATGTGGAAAAACACATTTTCCTGGATTCTTTGGTAGGTGTCATGTGCTTTAAACGTGAATTGGATGTGTTTTGAGTGTTTGGTCTCGATCTGTCCCTGATCTTCCTTCTTTTGAAGCCTTCTGCATAACAGATTCAAACTCGGACTGCAAAGGAAAACTATATATAGTCAAAGAAATGTTTACGCTCGGTGCTAAACAAAGCTATGCCTGGCCCAAACAACAATTTTTTGTGTGAACACTTGTATATAAATTTGCTTTGTCTTTTCTCTATCACCCCCCCCCACTGTTATCCATGTACCATATTGGCCCGAAAATAAGCTGCATCAGAATACAGAATACAAGCCACACCTTTAAAAATGGAGAGGGGGTGGAAAAAAAAACCCCCGAATATAAGCCACTCCATTCCTCGCTGCTCCTGGCTGCATACTTTGGGGGGGGGGGAGAGCCACACTGTGTTGCCAGCAACCTTTCCCCTTCCTTGTTCTCTCCCTTCCCAAACTTGGGGGAGAGGACAGAAGACTATGTGTCCCGCGCTCCTGGCTGCATACTGTAAGGTTGTGAATATAAGCCGCACTTTAACTTTTCACAGTCGGAATTTGGTAAAAAAGTGAGCTCCTTGGAGAAAAGGTGGGATAGCAATGTAACAGGAATACAGTGGTACCTTGGGTTACAGATGCTTCAGGTCACAGACACTTCAGGTTACAGACTCCAATAACCCAGAAATAGTACCTCGGGTTGGCTTCAGGATGAGAACAGAAATCATGCTCTGGCAGGGCGGCAGCAGGAGGCCTCATTAGCTAAAGTGGTACCTCAGGTTAAGAACGGACCTCCGGAACGAATTAAGTTCTTAACCTGAGGTACCACTGTAACTGAAAGAAGGCACTGGAATTCAAGTAAAATCCCAGGCACCTGCTTGTATGTGACTCTCAAGCTCATTTAGAAATCTGAACTGTATTTCCAGGGCTGGAAATTAGTTGTACTGAGATACAAGTCTTCCTACTTAACTAAAAGAAAAGCTTGTTATTGAAAAATAAGTTTTATAAACATGATGGTTGCCACAGGAGTTTCTCCTGCAACCAGTCCAATACAGATCCACACGTACCGTAATTTTCACACCATAGGGCGCACCGGACCATAGGGCGCACCCAGTTTTTAGGGGGGGAAATCAAGAAAAAAAATCTTTTCCCCCCCAGCCCCAAAGAGCAGTGTACCTGCTGGAGGGGTTGCGCGCAGCTATGGCACAAGCCAAGGGAGCGAGCAGGATGGATCCCGCTCGCAGTTTTGGCTTCCCCTTTAGCCCCGTGCAGCCTCTCCTTCCCGGGAGAGGCTGTGTGGGGCTAAAGAATCCATAGCTGTTTTGGTTTCCCCTTTAGCCCCGTGCAGCCTCTCCTTGCCGGGAGACGCTGCACAGGGCTTTCCTGGCTTTCCTGGGAGGTGGGGGGATTCCCTCACCTCTCGCAAAAGCCCGCAGAAGCCGTGCAACCCCTTTAAAGAGATCACGGCTTCTCCTGGCTTTTCTGGGAGGTGGGGGAATTCCCCCACCTCCCGCAAAACCGGCAGAAGCCGTGCACACTTTAAAAGGGCTGCACGGCTTCTTCTGGCTTTCCTGGGAGGTGGGAGAAGGGACTGATGCGGCCAGTCAGTCCCTTCTCCCTCCTGTGGAAAAGCCTGTAAGAGCGCACGGAGCTTGTGTGCAGCTCTTGGGGGCTTTTCCCGCCTGCCTCCCCCCCTGCATTCGCTCCATAGGATGCACACACATTTTCCGTTGCTTTTTAGGAGGGAAAAAGTGTGTCCTATGGTGCGAAAAATACGGTAAATAGGGTGAAAATGGACCAATGCATTACCAACAGAGCTTTTGGTGTGGCAGAAAGGGGGAGGGGACAAGAGTCTTCAAAAGGAGCCTCATCCAAAATCTATAGGCATGCAACTAGGACCAGATGGTGGCCAAGAGCTCCCTAGAGGCTAGTTACTTAAAACCTCTCATCCCGATATATCCATTTCTACCAACCCCTTTCTCACCATAGCAGCCCATCTACAGCAAAATATGTGCTCGCATCCCCTAGGACATTTAAGGATTATCTTAGTTTCACAATGGTGTGCCAAAGTCTAGTCACTTACATTTAAATGTCTGTCATGGGAATAAAAATATATCCTCCAGAGATATACTCAAGTGAAGTACAGCAAATCATTTTAACATTAACATTTTCACCTAGAGATGTGAGGGCCGGGGGGTGAGGGATTCCCATTTTTTGCCTTTTTTGTTTTTCTGAAAAATTGGAATAAATTGGGAATAATTGGATTATTAAATATTTAAGACAAGGTGTTCATATATTTGCTCACTCAAAATGATTTCCAAAACTGTGCA